GCCTTAAAATAAACATTTTGCATTATTTCCAGTACATGAGGGAAACCGCTTTTGTCATTTAAATAGAGGTACCAGCATCATAATTTCTAGGCAGGTTTTTGATTGCCAAAGCTTCATATATAAGAAATTGCAATCAAGTTTTATTTTTGATAAATACTCAAGTTCAATCTTTTGCGCTTATTAACTTATTAATGAGGGAAAAAATTGCAACAGGTTTGATAAATTATTACGTTCGAAAGTAATTAAAAATACCACAATCAATGACTATTTGGAGAAACTTCTTAAGCTAGTCCTAGAATCATTTTCTCCTTGACAGATTTTGCACGAGTCGCAAGGTGCTTTCTAAATAATAATACCCCGAATATAATACCTAGACAATTCTAAGCGCAGAGGTTGAAAAAAGGAGCCGAGAAGCGAATCAGTGACTCGGAAATGTCTGCTTTCTTCAACGTTTCCTCTGTCGTCCTTGAATGAAAGTAATTTTGAGTATTGGGGCCTTTGTAAAAAATGCCTCACATGTTAATGCCATGGAACTGGCGTTTATGTGATGAAAAAGTTTTAGATAATATAAATAAACACTTCCAAAACAGTTATTTTCGTATTATGGTTCTAGCCCTTACTTGGATGGAGCACTATTACACTACAAACAGCTGACGTATGAAATTCCAAGCTGGTACCTCTGCAGTGCACAGAATCCAGTTTTATAAAGCATTACGTACTTTCAAAGATTCAATTCTCATGTTTTTTTTAGCTTCTTGTTGCCGATTTAACAAAAAGAACGCTAACGATTATAAGTTATCTTCGTTTTGGAAATGATGCGTATCTCCAAAACCTTAAAGAAATGTGGAAATTAAAACCGGTTCAGCCAAAACTAATTAGAGAGCACGGCATTCACAACAACCCATTTGAAAAAAGTTAACGAAATATCTACGTGAAAGCGATTAACAAATGCAGGAAATTTGACAGATTTCCAGTTGATCTTGGAATTAAAGTTTGATCCGTCAGGTTTGTTATCAAAATCAGACAATGCTATCTCGAAGTTTTTAAAGTTAGACAAAATAATGTGCAAAACACTGCTGAAATCATGCATTATTTTACAGCTCGCCACAAAATGCCGATTGACCATCACAAAAGGCAAATAACCACATATCGCTTTTCAGTCTTTGTAAACATTCGAAGTACAAACAGACAACCATGCAGGATCCCCAAAAACACATTTTTAGCTGACACTAGGTGCACAAAAACACATTTTCATCATTGTAGAGCACCTACCTTGAAACATATCTTCTTAAGCGATCAATAGCTGGAGTTCTGTTTAACATTCTCCTTTGCAGTCAGAGTTCGGCATTTATTATGGCTTTTTGCGATGAATCCTGAAGTTAAGCACATCCTGCACCTGACTCGACACTCTCAAGCATTGTTTGAAGCAAGAAATGAAATTGAAATGACTTTTTGAAATCTTGAAACAATAGAAGCACCAGTACTCTTCGTTTGTTGGCAATACAAAAGTTGAGATTTCTTCTTGCAGTCGAAACACGGTGCCTTTGCAACAGAATTCCGGCAACAGAATCATAGAATTCGTTGAGAATCCAAGGCTAACATTTGTATGCTACCAATCAAAACAACTATCACACATGTCATTCAACATCAAATGAAGGCTAAAACCAGCCAAGGTTCACATCCACATGAAGTACTCTTTATGCAAAATGCATAACGATCATATAATACTTTTCAGGAAGCATAGCTTAAAGAAATTTTTGGCTGTCTTCGTTTCTAGGATCAAAGTTTCTTGTTGGCTAAACGTTGTTTAGGAGGCTGATACCTAATAGACTATGCGCAGGAAAATTAGTTCATGTGACCCATGTTTATATAGAGTCTCATATCACAGTATTACAGTTATGTGTGTAGGCCGTTGAAGTTAATATAAAACTATCGTTTTGCTTTTTTCGAGCCAATGCGTTGTTCTAACTTCTTCACATCTCAACATTAAAGGGAATTGAAGCAGAATTTAAGTGGCTTCGAGCTCCGAGCAGAATTAAAGTGTCTAAAGGGAATTTAAGTGGCTCCGAGCCAGCAAGCTCGAGCTGTCAATCAAACATCAACAAATCACAAGTGTCCATCTACCATTTCACGTGGTCACTTTTACTGTAGATTATATCACTTCACAAATATCCAATAAAAGTGAAGGAGTTTTTAGAAAAAATCACCTTTTATTCCTTTTTGCTCAAATCGACCTCTACGAGCTCGTGCAAACAAATCATCAAACTTCACGTGCACAGTTACAATGCTGCGCAGGCTCTGTACTGTCTATATTTAGAAAGTGCTTGATATATCCTTTTATTTTCTTTAATACCTTTGAAAATGAAAAGCTGTCAGTGAAACCTTGAAAAAATTAATGCGATCCATTAACGTAATCTTGGCTATTTGTAATAAGTTTCAAAGAATAATTGTAACTTATGTTTTATTATTGTATTTAATTGTTTATTTTTATTTCAATGTTGAAATTGTTAATTAGATGTTTAGATGTTGGAGCTAATAAGCTTATAGCTTTTAGTTATAGCTGCAAAGAACTTATCATTGCCGACAGAAAACAACTAAATTAAATAAACGCAAAAATGGAAATGCTATAATCATAAGTTAACCTAGATGAGACCATGTATATGAAATTGGAAAACTGGAATATTTTCAAGAAAGAAGAGACACTGGAAGTAGTTTTCGGTGGTGGGAAAAAGATACGAGGATTAGGGTAGGAATCTCTTCGATTCTAACAAACTTTTGGGTGAGGGAGGCTAGCAGCACCCAAGCTGCTCCTTGCTAGTATCCCCTTTATCGAAGATAAAGATAATGGAAGAAAGGTTGTGCCATGGAATTTCAAAAAGCAAATGCTCGACAAGAAGATGATTTTCTATTGATGTTACACCAAAACTATATAGTGCAATCGCACGCATAAGAGTATAAAACATAACTGTTCTAGGATAACGGCATATGCTAGGTCTAAAAATTACTGTAGCCATTGCTGTTGGGGAGACGAGCGCGAGAAAACATTCAAATGAGCGAGGCAACCGTCCGTCCAGGGGTCAAAGAACACGCGTAATAATAACTTCGTTCCATGCGCGTGGTCTCTGACTCCAGGAGGTAATGCTGCCTCACCACTTAAAAGACGTTCTTTTGTACGTCTCCTCAAAACTGCTCGGAAACAGAACGTCATGAAGCACATCAAAGAGCAATAAGTTGTGCCAGAGTTTCTTCTTATGGCTTTTAGATTTGAGCAAATTATTTGCTAACCTTACCTAATTACCATTTTGGTTTACAAAAAAATTTTTCTTTCTTTATTCTGGATTTTAGTCATTCGGCTAGCCAATTTTATCACAATTTTATCGTCATTGACAATGATCCTTTTAAATCGCTTTTTAATCATTAAATGATCTTTGTCAAAAGCAGGTTCCCATGTTAAATTATACTTTTTATCTCATGTTTTTGTATCACATATCAAATCTTAACATATCTGAACAGCCGCACCTCATATAAGCTGGAAAGTATTGCCTTCTGTGAAAAAAACAACACAAGGCTTTGAAATTGAATTTAACAAATATTTGGATACACAAAGTACACCCTTTACAAAGAACAAAACCACATATCAGCTTCAGAATTCAAAGATTAACTGACCAGACATTAAACATGTCGCTTTAGTTTCAGAAAACCATATACAAACAAAAAGACAAATCAGCTGATTCACTGACGCGAGTACAAGCAACTGCATGGCTGGGACCGATCTTAACAACAGCGCGGTTACATTCTTGGGATCATAAGGAAATTTATGCTAAGATTAAAGAAAGAAAAAGGATGAAGCGATTGGCAACAAGTTGGGATTTATTTTGCTGCAACGATAGTGGCTCTGAAATTTTTAAAAGAGAGAAACAAAACAAACGAGGCAAAAACTAATCATATATTTGACAGGAATTTAATAAAAAACATTTCTTTTTTTCATAAACAACAAACATTATACAAGCTTAGCATGTGTAGCCGTTTTCTGTTTTCATCTTTTCCCTGCCTAATGATTTTTTCATGGCAATTAAGGGCTTGGAACAATTTCAAAGCGATGCTGGCCTGTAATCGCTTCTCATATAAAACCAAATTCATATAAAACAAAATCTGTCTAGCAGCCATTAAGCCATTTGGCTCTCCCGTATTGCATGTTAATTATTTTTATGTAATTCCCTTAACAATTATTTAGAAAATTCATTTTTCAATCTTTACATTATTTGTAGAAAATTTAAAGGTGCATATTAACTCCATTAAGATAGCCCTCCGTTAACGTGCACATCTCGATAAAGGGTAAGCGATTTTGATACAAATTTCCTTACTTTGGGCAAAGCCCAGTTCAAATAATCTCAAGGCAACTGACATTTCTCTACAACGGGCAGTAATTTCGTCTCACTGGTTTCCGTTCTTTAGAGAGGTCGCTGAATAACTACTATTTTGGAGATTCGATTTTTACGTCTTTAGAGTGACATGAAGGTCCAGTCAAAATTGCAACATACGACATTCAATAAAAGTACGTTTGATGTCTAAAATTTAATGAAGTGAAACCCCATAAAAATGTTGAAAAGAGGAAACATGATTAAAAAGGGTTTTCAGTGACATTGAATAAGCGCTGCCTGGACCAGCTTCAGTTTTGTTGCTAGCCTTTGTTAGAAACTCTGTCGACAACCAAGTTAGAAACTGTACTTCAAAATTAGACAACTTGTTTGTTTGCAGTTACATATCAGAACTATTAAAGTTTTCAGAAACTACGTAGCCTATAGATTTCATGTACTGTGAATGGCGCAGTGGGCTTTGGCCGTTTCCTTGCTACGTTATGCGAAACAAACGAAAAGTCATTAGAAGGAAGTTCTAAACTTTAAGCTTTTCAAAAGTCTGAGAGGCTTGAAATAAGATCGAATTTGCAAATGTTATCAGTACTTTAAGGCTTTACAACAATAACAAACTTTGCAACTTACCCATAATCATTGCTAGGGCTGTGTGTATTGTAAACCCAGGATCGGCACTCTGTTAGAGCAACAACACGAGCTTCTTGTACTGTTGCCAGCGCGAAATCCATGTATTCAAAAAATCCCTAATTAGGCACTGTACTGAAAAGCAGTATGAGTTCTTGCGTATTCCTCTGCAAACTCAGTTGTCTATGCACGGCATACTACACACAATGTTGATATCCTGCCTTCATAGCTCATATATCCATGATCTAATATATGGATTTTATGAATAAAAAACAGGCTTTGAGAATAAGATTGGATTTCAAGATCACAGTAGATGCAAAAGAGTGATCTTTTTAATGAACACTAGCCATGTGACCTTTGAGTTCATCAAATAAATTTAAAACAAGACCTTTAGAAATTTTGAATAATATTGTAAAAGGTCCTTTGTACCTCAAAGGGGTCATTTTAATTAGCTCACTGATTGATTAAAGGGCCTCCCACAGCCATTTCACAATTATTTAACGATTTACGACTAAACCTGTAACGCGATAAAAAAGCTTATATAAATCGAATCAGCACATTTTGAATTTCAAAAGGGCTTAATGATGTAATAAAAATATTATTAACTCCAAATTTCATTACCATTAATTACATACCCTACGTGCAACAGGGGACCAGAGTAAACAATGTTGACGAGTACAGAGGTTACGGGCTTTGGGCGAGGACTCCGAGAGAATATTTTTGTACATGTCCTTTTCTCTTATAAAAAGCAATCTACAAAACCATTCTTGGTATGCAAACATTCCAGCCTTAAAGATGTTTTGGAATTACCTTAACTAGCAGTACCTTATAAGAGAACGTTTGGTAGAAAATTGAAAAATTCCGAGGACTGCCCTCCCCATCCCCCCTCCCAACCCATATTATTTTGACTACGCCAATTACTAATTGAAAATGTATGCATTTGGGTTTTTTGAAAATATCCAGCTAAATAATAAAACCTTGTTTCTAAGCATCTTGACAATATATGAAAGCTTATATCTAATTTTGTATACTTTATTCTGGTTTTTACACCCTTAAATATATACACCCACTTTGAAAGAAGCCATTTTGAATAATCTGCGCAGGTAGGGTTCTGAGAAATTATGAAAGCAGACAACATTGACTGAGAAAGTTAAAAATCTACTGTGATTTATCAATAACGGTAAGGGTGTCGAGTTTTTTCCACTGAGGGTTATCTCAAGAAATAATTAAAGTCGTGTTAAGATATCTAAAAGGGTAGCAAGCAACTAGCTAAGCTAGACAGATATGTAAAAATGCAATCTATTCTAAGCGCTCTATGTTCTTGCTGGTTGTAAATTGCAGACGTTAAACGATAGTGGATTTAATTAAACATGAGTGATGTACTGTATTTTCAAAATACTTTGAATATGAGGAAACGACAAACGAAATTTCATAATAATACTTGTCTGAGTTTATAAATTATAGATAACTTTTGTTAGAACTATTAGCCATTGATTGCCTGGCAATATTTCATGATTTTTGCTTAGTTTCTTCAAGGTTTTCATGAAGAAAATGTCAAATAAAAGTTATGAAATCTTTTAATCAGTAACGACAGATTAGGGAGGTTCAGGTGGGAAATATTCGTCTATTTTGACACCTATTTCATTTCGACACTTTACCTATAGTAAATTTCTGGTCTATTTTGCTTAATTTGATTCCTATCATTCCAATCGAAAAAAGCTTGTAAACACAAACATAATAAACCATCGTAGACTTTTAAATGGCAGAGCCCAGTCGTCTTTTCATCTAGCAGTTATGGAATCGATCTACATACAAACGAAAAAGCCGCCATTGTGTAGACAGAAGGAGTTCGTTTTCCCTCTTGGACCCCATTGGTAATTTACCTGTAGGCACGTAGCACTGATTGTTCAACTATGCTGGTCACGTGCTTGCGTTTTCTGATTGGCCTATTTACGGTCGTGTTCCTTCGGACACTTATTCTGACGTTTTATACTCTGAGGAGTGTCAAACGAAAAACTTTTAGTAATATATCGTGAAATGCTTGCTTTTTCAAAGCCATTTTCAAGTTCTGTACCGCAAAAAAATTGTTCACTTTTAATTATGTAGGCTTTTTGACTGGAAAGTAGGTCACAAAGTTCTTGATCTCTTAGTCGCCAAGGCTCATCCTCGCCTCCCTTCTATTTGTTTTATCTTTGCAACGCAAAGCAATGGAATTTATCTCTCAAAGTAATGAAGTCATGTGCTAACGTCCAGTCAAAGCTACTTCCCATCAAGGAAAACTCCTAAAGACTAGTTGAAATTTAAGACTTCTGTGCTTGTTACAGGTGTCTTTTATTTTCAATCCCATGAAAGTATTTATTTTGGCTAAAAATGGGGATTGCACTCTTGGGTGAAAAAACGGCTACCTGCTACGCTGAAAGGATGAAGCACTGTTTGAGTGGTAATCTGTCATGGTTTGATTGTGAAAATAAAATTATCCGATTGGCTGAGCAAAGTTTGCCCTGCACAGGCTAACTTACATCTGAATCTGAAAAATAACTAGTTCTAGAAAAATAGCTAGTTTAACAAGTAGACATTTTAAGCATATACCAGCAGCTTTTCATCTTCAACTGATCAGTTATCTAGTTATTTCTCTTAATTCTGCCCACCCTTTCTTCATTCTGAAATGCGTAAAATTTGGCTATGAAAGTACTGTTTCTCTTTATTTCAACATCTAGTTTCAATCTCAGCAAACCTTGCCAAGAACATTCTAGAGGAAAGGTAATATGATTTGTTTTTTTTATTTTATTCAATTGAGATTATCTATTGAATATCACACTGAAATGACAGATCACACTGAAATGTACAAAGATTATTTCGAGGTATAAGAACCTTCACAGAAACTAGAATAAGGCTGTGACGTACAATAAGTTACCGATAATAGGGAAACTTCAAAATGGTAGAGCTGCATCAACAAGTAACCATGGGAACTGGGAAGTAGAAATAAGGAAATAGAATCAGTTAAAAATAACTTCAAGATTCGTGGTTTGCATTATTGGCAACTTGTAGACTTTTAAGGGAGGGAAACTGTGCAAAAGCTCTTCTCGCGCAATACAACGGAGCGAGGAACTGGTTTTTTGCCAGCCCTCAGCATCTAAAAGCTTTTCTGTAAAATATTGAGACTATATAACATTGTCACCACATTAGCGTTAGGAAAACGTACTCCTGTAGTTTTAATAAGGAGCGCTTTAACGGGCCAGCTTGTACAGCATGCATGTTTTGGATAGGCGTTGGCGTAATTATGATCCATTTCAGTTTTCTAGGCTCAAGCTCTGCAAGTGGTGTCAAAATGGCTGCGAGTAGAAAACTTTCACTTCCATCTTGCCTAAAGTCCCCAAAATGTCTGCGCAAAAAAAAAGGTTTGAGACACCAATTCGGGTCTTTAGCCTTGTATGTAACTGCCACTGAGTGCAAATTTTCTAGCCCGAGCGACAGGCTGTCTGCCGCTTGATGGTTCAATAAGTTGATCGTTGCTTTTTTCGGTTCTAACCAAGATAGGCGATAATCACTAGGTGACACCTATGTAGCAAGAGTCCACTTAATTTCAATACACAATATTCATATAAAAGTTCTGTGAAAATTTACGACAGAAGTTACACTATCAGGTGCAGTCTACTTCACAAACACTTCACGGGATTAGACGACCAGGAGTAACAAGCTACGACAACAGCTTAAAAATACTTGCATGAAATGGGACTTTAAAGATTGGATATCATGGAACAAGGCTTAGACTGGGTTATTGTACGTATCATTAAGATTGGGGCAACCCCAAACAAATTACAGAAAATACGTTAAGACTTTCAATGAGGTTGTTTGCAAAATCACTAACACGAACTTAAAACAACTGCGTCAAAGCCACAATTGGAACAGTTTTGTATCATAATTCGCAAAAAATTCAGCAAGAAAGAGATATCGATGATGATGAAAATCTAAATTTTGGTCTAGTTAGATTCCTTCATACAAAATGCTTTGGTTAAAGAAAGATATGATGTCAATTTTCATGTTTTTGCCATTTTCTCCCTGAGAGACTAATTACGGATTGGATGGGATTCATCGAAAATTGAATTGTAAATTGATAGGTTTAACAATGTATAGCTTCTACTCCATTCAGTGGGCGTGGGGGGTTTCATGACTAATTCAGGTCAAGCTCTGACAAATCTAACAATATCTAGTTTCAGGCTGCCTTTCTTCCTAGACTACTGGGTATTGGAAATAAAAAACTGAACGTACTTTAATGGGTATTTTGATAAGGTCCAATGTCTTGGATGGAATATGGCATATAACGTCTCTGCAGTCAAGATAGGTCCATCGTCGAGAATTAAAGCTGCTCTTACGTCTGAAAATAAACGATTTCTAAGGGCTTTATTGCCATGTTTTACTCCTCTGCTTTAGACCTGAAGAATTTTGCAGATAGCTGCATATAAAACATAAGACATTCATTCTACTCCTTTATGTCTTCTCAATCCATACCATAAGTTCGCGTATTTTTTTACTCTTTTGGTGGGGGAAATTATCATCAAAAGAATCTTAAAAAACATATTTTAAAGCGAGTGAAATCTTTACATCCATCACCAAAAGGAGCGATTCTGTGTGCCCTTAACTGCATCAAGATATTATGTTAATAATGAGATTGTATTTAGTGTTATTCTTACTAGCAATACGTCACTGGCAACTTCTCACCCACCGATCTGCGACTGCTACTCGCGCTGCTGTGGTTGCTGCTCCGGTCATCGTAATCATCATCAACTGGCATTCTGACACCACTTTGGCTTATTTTAGACTTTCCAGAAGATGTCGATGACGTCATAGTTATAACAGCACTCGACCGCTTCAAAGCTTCATCTGCGGTTTGATCGTGCATCCACAGTAATGAAACCAAGTTATTGAGAAATGGGGCTATTTCCTGGCATTAAACAGATTTAGATTCATAAGAGGCATTTGGGTAAAGTGATCTGGTTTTTGAAACCAAAATTCTACAATAGCTGGTCTGTTTCAAGGGTACTTTAAAACAATTTCGAATCTTAGACGAAATTTGATGAGATCTTAAATAAATCGTATGTAAAGTTTCAATCAAATGCTACAACGATATCCTATTTAGTACTTCCTTTTTTTATAACTATTAACCCAAAATAGCAAAGAGGATGATAAGATAGATGTGAACCAAGCAAAAGGCAATAGGATGGTGTTGTTCATTGAGGGAGGTCTAAAATGGGATGTGTTGAACAGATGCACTTTGTTTGGTGCACAATCGGTCAAGAAGACACAAGGTTGTGTATGTATCTCAATTGCACCAACCCTTCCAAGCTAAATTAATACACAAGGTCTCGTTTAGTAGGTTTTGCAAATATAAAGTATAATATAATATTGATATATGCACTGGGTTTGGTGCACAATCGGTCAGGAAGACACAAGGTTGTGTATGTATCTTAATCGCACCAACCCTTCCAAGCTAAATTAACACACAAGGCTCGTTTAGTAGGTTTTGCCAATGTATAGTATCATATAATATTGATATATGCACTGGGTTTGGTGCACAATCGGTCAAGAAACCACAAGGTTGTGTATGTATCTCAATTGCACCAACCCTTCCAAGCTAAATTAACAAACAAAGTCCTATTTAGTAGGTTTCGCCAATTTATAGTATCATATAATATTGATATATGCACTGGCGTTAGTGCACAATCGGCAAGTAGCTGTAGTGATTCCATTCATTCTAATTTTTCCTCACCTATCGCCATCCATTTTTACTTTGTTTATTTTACCTACAGTAATTTCTTCACATCACTACCTCATCACTACACTCTACGAGCATATCACTATGTCAACATTTCCTCTCTTTTGTTTAGGCCCTCATCAACCCTACACATCTACCTAAATCTCAATTCATAAACTATTCACACTTAGCCTAGCCCTTCCTATCCTTTGTTTTCCTTACATCATTAGTGTTAATTCTAGATATTCATTTCTGTATATAAGCATGTTAGTTTTTATGTAAGTTCAGTTCAGTTCAGTTCAGTTCACATCAGAGTTACACAGGCAACACACTGTCTCTCTCACTGGCTCCGTGTTCTCTGCACGTAAAATAAGACACGCTGGGTTGGAAATGACACGTTAGTCAAGGATGGATTTATTTAGTGTTTACATTGATCGCCGTTCCGATGTACACTAAATAGCCACAAGGTTGTGTATGTATCTCAATTGCACCAACCCTTCCAAGCTAAATTAACACACAAGGTCTCGTTTAGTAGGTTTTGCCAATATATAGTATTATATAATATTGATATATGCACTGGGTTTGGTGCACAATCGGTCAAGAAGCCACAAGGTTGTGTATGTATCTCAATTGCACCAACCCTTCCAAGCTAAATTAACAAACAAAGTCTTATTTAGTAGATTTCGCCAATTTATAGTATCATATAATATTGATATATGCACTGGGTTTGGTGCACAATCAGTCAAGAAGCCACAAGGTTGTGTATGTATCTCAATTGCACGCTAAATTAACCCTTCCATGCTAAATTAACACACAAGGCTCGTTTAGTAGGTTTTGCCAATGTATAGTATCATATAATATTGATATATGCACTGGATTTGGTGCACAATCGGTCAAGAGTTATATGGCTGTGCGTGTACAAACACTGCCAAACTAAACTAACTCAAAACTCTCAGTCTTCAAAACATGCCTAATATAAATCATTTTTAAACTTCTATTTACGTCATCGTATCACAGTTTGCTTCTTGCTCAACACTAAAAAATTTCATGTAAAGTTGACGTTACCTTGATGCTAGCTCTACCGTCAAGAGACTTGCCATCAGGCAACATAGGACCATCCACATTGGCAATCTTTAAGACCGGTATTTTCCAAGCCTGCTCAAAATTGCGAATTTCTTCAAGAATGCTGTCTTTTGGATCAATCTGGTCATATGTTCGAAATGTTAAGGATATTCTAAAACTTTTCTTTAAATTTTTAACGAAGATTTTAAAACTTTTCTTTAATTCTAAGCATCTAAGTTATGAAACAACTGGGAATACATTTGCCCTTATACAATATTGTATAAATTTTCATAAGAAAAAGAAAATGCGTTTTGTTCTTTGACTCTATTAAAATTAGCGCCTTAAATTTAAATTTTTTGATATGAAGTTTTGTGCAAATTTTCATATCATGCTTTCCAGTTTCTGTGCTATGAAAATTTAGACCAGTTTTTGCATACCAGTCTTAGGAATGGAAGGGTAAGGAACAATGGTGGATAACAGTATCGAGTAGACAAAATGCAGAAAAGTTTAAGCAATAATTGGGCTAGATAGCCCCGGTGTTTTAGCAATATATGAGGTGCTGAAAAAATGTTTTAAACCCTAAACAGAATCGTGAAAACGAAAAACAGGAAAGGTTAGGCTGGGTTGTGACTGAATGGTCCCTGTGTATTAGCAGGGGTCATCTAGCTTTGTATGATCTGCGAAAGCAATTGTTTTGATATAGATAATCTTGCTGTCGTTTTATTCTGAAGGTCAATTTTTAAGCTCTATCCAGCAAAGGTATTAACTGCATGCTCATATATAGAAAAGACTAGATTGAAAAAGGATATTTAGTTCCAACAGCTAGCTTGAGCACTGTGTCATCTACTTCGCTTCTCGTTATCTATAAAATAAATTATCAAACAGTTATCTTTAGGTATAACATCATTTATATAAATTGCACTATTTCAATCTTGTTTATTTCGCTCACAAAGTCAAGCTACAAAAAGGAGCCTAAAAACATTGCTATGAATCAGTGACGGGTACACTAGCAATGCCATAATAAAATGAAGTTTAATTTTTTTTCTAAAACTGGTTTTACAAAAGAATGAAAATTTTCTCTTTTTTATGAAAAGAGAATCTGGAAGGTGAAAAATGCTCCAACATTACAACTGAGACACTTTCCAAATGAGTTTAAAATTTATGACATTATAGCTGGGACACTCTTCACTATTGATCTTAAATCTTAAAGTAGTTGGTCTTTCTACGAAAGTGAAAATCTATACAAATATAGAAATAGGGAAAATCTTTACGAAATAAATATTGTATCTTAAAACTAGGGATGTAGAAGAAAGAAAGGTCACATGGGCTTCAGTTCCACCATTTTTCTTCAATCAACGATTAAAGTATTGTTTTGTTTGACATTTAACGTTATTGAACCAAGAAAAATAATTTTACTATAATCAATTTTTCTAGCGGTATCTTCAAACAAAGTGATGCGATTGAATTATACTTACAAGAGGCTCTAAGTCTTTCCAACTTGTTCTGAAATTCAAAAGATAAAACTGTAGTGCAGCAAAAGAAGAGGCTTCTGCTGCAAGTATCGATATCTTAAAACGTAGAAACCCCTACTAAACAGAACGAAGCAAGTTTATCTTAGTTGTACACATTTTAAAGACTCAAATTTTATTGCCAAAGATCTATGATGGCATCACACTTCTGAAGTGACATATAACATAAGCAACTCTACAAGTGGTTACCTTACAAATCTAGAAAAAAACATTGGTATCATCGAGCCTTTGCTAACTGTATCTAAAACTTTTGAATAAACATTCTTGCATATGATAATTCCAATTTCACTTTTGCCATTTCCCCACAGTTATAGAAGTACTTATCTGGCTTTTCTTATTACCGAAAATTGCAATGTATCAATTGACTTTTCATTGCCTATCATAAAAGCCTAGTTACTTAGACGATAGCTTTATCAAACTGATTCTTTAATCATCTGTTTCCTAACATTTGTCACTTCAACTTTTATTCACTTTACTCCCAAAAGAAGACAACAAAAATTATTAAAGAAAAAAAATACAAAACTTCTACCAAGGTTCTCCAAACTTATCAAGTCTCGTGCATTCAAGAAGGAAAGAAACATAAAAAGTACAATAAAAGTAGTAAAACAAATTAGGTAGAGCTATGATCTCAAGCAATTAAGAACATGAATTAGACAGGTATGAGCCGGAATTAAAACACTATTTCTGAAGAAAGGATGACTTGAGTGATCATTAAATTTTTCACCTAGTTCAAAGTTTTTAATTCTATTTCAGGAAGCATTAGCTTAAAAACCTAGAAAAAAATGGCTGAGGAAGTTGGAGGAAGAAATGGATGTAGAGGACTGTAACTTGAAATCAAGGATGGAAACTAAAGTAAAGAAATCAAATGCAATCTTATTTTATCTAGACAGTTTATTACCTGTTTTGTAGACTAAATGTATAAATAACAGCATCAGCATTTTCCTTGCATGCCTGTAAAAACAGATTTTAATGATTAATATATTATATTCTATAAAATATTATAAGTACAAAATCTTTTGCTAATGTGAGGTACCTGTCACAGCAAAATCCTTTCCAAAAGGTTTGCCATGAAGAATGAAAGCAAGCTAAGAACACATATATTAAGCTAATGCTGACATTGAAACATTGAAGTTTCAAAGCTTCAAATCATCTGTTAAACTTTATCAGAAACCTTGACAAAAAAGCCAAACACTTGGAGGGAGATTCAAGGCTTTGATAATGTTTTTGTTCATTTGTAAACGTCCTGTGCAAGCCAACCACATATTGTCATTTTATCATAGGCAATCAAACAAATTTATCATCAACAACATGAAATTCAACTATTACATAAAAAGTAATTGAACATATAGTGTACAACATAGACTGTACAGCACATGTGAAAAAATTCTAAAATAATGACTTTATTCAATAATTAGAAGAGGCTTTGGATGAGCTTAAAAAAAATTACTTTTTCAATATGGTCGAACTTTTTCAAACATGTCTCTCCTGCATCCCAGAAGATCAGCTTGAAAATTTTTAGCTGCTGAGTATTTCTAAGCTTGAAAAGAATTTACAAAAAAATCAGTCATGAGAACATGCACTGAAAACAAATGGTTGCTTTCAAAAATCAGGCCTGAAACGATGTATAATTTTGATCATCAAAGATTTTTATAATGATTTTATCGAATCAACATGAAAATTAAGCACATTATGCTTTCTTGCCTTTGCATTACACTTTGATGAAGGGTAAAATGGAATAAAAAAATACAAAGAATTAAAGGTGACATAGAATCGAAGGTGACACAAAAACAAAGGTGACACAGGATTCAAGGTGACACAGATAGAATTTTCTCTTGCAAAATTGTTACAATCATGAATCATAAGCATGAAACTTTGCCGCTTTCTTGAATGAGACTAACAATATTCTGAAAACTGGCATCAAGCATAAGCAAACAATTTTTGGGGTATGAAATGCATCAACAATGCATAAGGAAAATGGTATTATGAACTAAAGAGTGTGAGATGAAAAGTTCAAGTATTTTTTAAAAATTTTTTTTCAAAAATTTTTTTAAAAAGTATTAGGTATAATTGTTAATATTTGTATGATTACATAGGCACACTGTTGCTGGAATACCTTGGCAGGCCAGTAAACAACTGACATTTGAATACCAGGAGTTTCTTTATGGTAAGATGGAATAGCTAAAAAGATGGAAAGTAAAGATAAACAAAAACAATGAAATGTGGTTAATTAAAGAAGGTAAAATGATTGATATGATTAAGAATAACATTGCAAGGAACAGGCTTGATAAATTTGATAAACAAATGTTTGATAAACTGAAGTATCAATGTATTCAGACAAATGCATGTAAGGCAGGGGTGGGGAACCGTTTTTTAGACTGGGCCATCCTTTTCTTTAAGTGGGCCAAAGGTGATAAGAAAATTGATACAAGTGTTGTAATAAAATGATAATAATAACAATAAAAAACTTTCATTTAAATTTAATTACACTGCAACTACAAACCTCTCACTGACATAATTATATATTTTGCATTGATAGATTAGACTGTTACAATTAAACATCCTGAAAGGAAATGCAGAATAGTCCACCAATTGATGTTTAGCAGTGGCCTTTTAGCTCAGACCATTCACTTTGATATACATTAACACAAATTTATCCAATATAGCCCTTTCCCCCCAGCACATTAGCAACTGAGGCATGACAAAATAGGGACAGCCATGATCACTGCTCAACTGCCATGAGAGCGCCCAGTACAATTCGGTCTTGCTGCATTTGTTAACTGTCATCCAGTACCTCAAAGATTCTCCTGTCCAGTATTTCAGCAGGATGTATTTGTGACAACGGATAGTGAACAAACCTTTCCATGGTTCCAAGGTTTGATGAAGACATAAGAATATTCAGTTTTGAATTGATGTTTGTTTAATGCAACGTTAGTGACTGCTCTGAATATAATATTTTTTTTCTTGCATCTTATATTTTTTATGTGACCCAAAAAAATTGTAATATAATAATATTTTTCATCCCAGAGGCAACAGAAATTCTCTTCCTGGGCCAAATTTTGGCTTGCAGGCCATAGGTTGCCCACCCCTGATGTAAAAGGTTTAAGAAATAAAAAAAATTGTATTTTGTGATAATATCAAATTGATATAGCATAGGAAGGATTCATGCAAACACATAACTTCACCTGTACCAACCAGCTTTGAAACAAGACTTGTCTTCCCAACACCTGCTTTTCCAAGTAAAAAGATTTTGTAAGAGACTTCTTCAATATTAACCTTGGGTGGCAAATTGGGTGTTTCGATCAAGCCTGTAAAAAGATATTTGTTCACATCACTTGTATCTAAAAGATTAAACAACTATATTTCTGTTTTCACACTTAATTATTTTTAGTCAGTAAGAAATCCAAAATCCACAATAAATGAGCATTTCATTGGGAAATTTGATATTATAAATTTCAATTTTAAAGGGGTACTGATGTATCTCCATATCATAACCATGGCCAAACTTGTTGGCCATCCTCAAACAAGAGGAAACGCAGAATTCCAACTTGAATTGAAGGGCTTGTATGGAAAACATGGCACCTGTCCACCCCAGTCTGCATTATTTGTAGCACATTTAGAGAAGATCTTCTGAATGCCATCTTGGTTGTTCATGTCAGGTTTCAGGGAGTAACATCTTATTGGAAAAGACCATCTGGTGAGCCAGGAGGTTTGAAGTCCTGAGTTGATATGTAACAAAAGTTTTACATTGAAATGTGCTTTGAAATTTGGCTCAGCCCTACCAGCCTTTCTATGGTAGAAAACAATTGCTGCTTTTCCAAGAATAAATACTGGGGGCAGTTGCCCCCCCCTAACTAAGATGAAGCAAGTATGGTAACCCTTTTTGTGATTGGACACCCCGTTTATGGAATATCAGAATCAGATGCAAAGTTTCTGGGCCCATAGGTTAATTTACTTCCATGATATTCTCAAAGCTCCCTTTTTATTTTGAAAATTAAGGGTGCTTCGCTGGACATGAAGTCACACTTTGAAAGACAATTGGAGCTATCCATAAAGTTGTGTTTTTCAATTCCTGGCTTCATTCAACCTTTGCTCAACTTCTTTAGCTTTAAAGTTTTCTCATTTTCATATTATAATGAATGAATAAAACTATGGGGCATAATCATGATAGAATGTCTGTCCGTTGTGCCTAGAATCCATGCTTCTTGATGTTTTAAATATTCAAGCCTCATTTTCCATAGAATTTCATAGTAGCAATTTTTTGTGCTGCCAACCACAAAAGGTTATGGATTCTAGCCTTTGTTGTCTGTCGGATACATGAACATTGAGTGGAGGAAATTCTGCTGTTGGTATTTTGAAATCCCATGAATCAGATCTAAGGAAATGTAAAAAAATTCTGGATCTGTAGTAAGAAAAGTCAGCAAGCACAGGCAGCAATTACTTGATGAAAAAGGATTTGTAGTGTACATGTGGAAAACAAAGTTGGTGGCCTAGAGTCCGAGTCTATAAAGTGTGCACCTGACTTCTCTGTTTCTACAGGCAATGGTGTTGCATTGGAGAACAAAAAAATTACCGCAGAAAATACTGATGCCTTAGGTATATAAGCAAACTTGCTTACTATAAATGCACACTGCACATTTCAATTTGCAAAATCAAAATTTCAAAATAATGATTGCATACCAAATATCCTTCTTCTGTTTCTTCGCAAGATGCTTGCAAATAACTCTTTCCCATCGCTACTGTCCAGCCAATGTTCCTGTAAAATCATGCCCGTTCTTTCCATCATTGACAACTCCTTGTCGTTCTGATATACGCCGCCATATTGAAAACATTGGTTGTTTTGTTGCTGCTGCTGTTCACGAAAAGGGCAGTATTCCACAACGGGGATAAAGGGTTTGGGAATTTTCCTATCTTCATGTACTTTTGGTTTCATCAGGCACGTAAATGATAGGGGCAGTGGCGCAGAGAGGTGGGGGTAGGGGGGCAATTTGCCCCAGGGCCTCGGCCTGAAAGGGGCCTCCAAATTATTCTGAAAATTTTTTTAAAATGTCTTCTTTTGAGAAACTGAAAATGCATTTAAAGATATATTTGTTAATATCGAAAATGATGGCAGTAATTTCATTGGGTCCGTACACTGAGTCTTGTTTGAATTTAAGGCCTATCAGCTTTATTTATTGAGTCTGGGGCCCCGAGAAAAGCTGAATAAACCTTAGATCACATATTTTACGGATTCATCTTTTAAGCTGAGTTTTATAGGGGAAGGGAGCCCTGATAAAAAAATAGGTAACCCATATAATCTTGTTTTAATATATGGCCCGTTCAAGTGAGTTATGTTTGCATTTAGACTCGTTGCATAAAGCCATATTATATTTTTGGGGCCCCTTTTAGCATTAATAAAGAACCGCTTACGTTCAACAATGACTCAAGACAGACTATCAAGCCTCGTGACTCTTTCGATCGAGCACGAACAAGCAAGACAAATTGATTACGACAAATTGAACAATTTGCAACTGAAAAGGCAAACGTGCGCAAACGTTTGGAAATAATGGGCGTTTTCCATTTTATAAAGGGCGTGGTCTCAAAAAAATTTTGTATCCGACTCTAGGGCCCCAACCGGGACTTTGCCCCAGGGCCCAGGCCGCCTCTCGGCGGCCCTGGATAGGGGGCGTGGAGGCGTGGGCGCGTGGGAGCGTGACACCCCCTAAAAGGTTAGAAAATCCAATTACAGTTGGAAAACTTAAAGGTTCACTTGGAATTACCTCTAACTCTCGTGACCAAATATGTGAATTCTATAGCTTTGGGATGTTGAGGTTATAAATGTAAAAATCTTGGAACTTATTAAAATTTGCACTCTGGAGCAGACGCATCTTCTAATCGTTTTTAAATGTGAAGTCCTGGATCTCAAATTATGCCGCTTTGTTTATTTTTGGACAGGGGTTAAGTTAAATTGAATTATTTTAAACAGGCAAGATGAATGTCTGGATACAAAAGTTTAAATTTTACAATCAGTATTGATTTAGCCTGCTGTTTTGAAAAAATCAAATTTTTCCGTTGCAAAACACAAAGGACATTTAGCCCTCTGAAAATTTTAAAAAAGTTTCCTTCGATCAAGACGAAAAGATGAAATGGTCAATTCCTTTTGATGCTTCTATATTGTGAAAAAGATATTTATCAAATAACTGAGCTGCAGCAAATAGCTTTAAGATGAGCAAAGCAGAAAAAGAATGGAATCGCTGCTAATTGACTTGAAATAATAATTCTTTTTAGCATTAAATATATCCAAGATCTAATACTGGTTTGACTTTCATGTTGCTTTACTTCTTACCAAAAGATTAAATGTTCGTTTAACGTTAATCAAAATTTAGAGATTTCCTTTATCTTCTTTAGTGCTACTATGCTTGAAGCATAGTTTTGGGATGTTGAGATTATAAATGTAAAAATCTTGGAACTTATTAAAATTTGCACTCTGGAGCAGAAGCATCTTCTAATCGTTTTTAAATGTGAAGTCCTGGATCTCAAATTATGCCGCTTTTTTATTTTTGGACAGGGGTTAAGTTAAATTGAATTATTTTAAACAGGCAAGTGGCGGACACTTGGGGGGGAGCGAGGGGGGGCGATCGCCCCCCCCCCCAATACTTTAGAGAACAATGGTCTTTTGTTCTAAAACAATGGGAAATGTGACGTCATCTTATTAAAACAATAGGCTTGCCCCCCCAATATTTGACCAAGTGTCCGCCCCTGCTTAAGACTAATTATTACGAGTAAAATGTTGGATATAATACAGAAACTAGAAATCTGGAATATAGCTATTTTCAAAAACCAATTTAGTAGGTTCAGTAGGTTAACAGGTCGAGAAAAAATGTTTCTCAAGTAAAGTTGGAATTTTCAACCTTATCAACAATACTGAGCAGAAGCATCAGCAGGAGATGTAGTTCACAGTGCCGTTTTAGATAAGCATCCTTTTATCAGGGCCCCTCTCAGGGACGCCGGATCGACCAAGGGGCAAGGGGGGACAGGCTTGAGTGAAAGGGAATTTGAAAATAGTTCCCAGCTACCAAAAATTCGTTCTTCATTTTGTTTTGGTCTTTGGGCAAGTTTTGAGAAGTGTCGTCATGAGTAAAGCAGTACAGTCAGAATTTCATATGAAAATTTTGATAATTACAAACGGCTGATGTCAAGGGAACTTTGGCCTCCTTGTCCCTCCTATCAAAAGGTAAGAAGGGAGGTTGAGCCCCCGCGCCCCTCTCTCCGGCGTCCCTGACCACTTCATCTCTCTCTCTTGCAAGAAATAGAGTACAAACAGGTGTAGAAATTTTGTTTTAGAATAAAAAATTCTCACGTGCTAATGTACAGCCTATTAAATTTACATTAAAAAACTATTCTACAATTGTCTAGCCCGCCAAGAACAATGCCAAACGCAATAATGTGGCGAGTATGGATATGTTGAAATTGAAACACTGTGACAAATTCAAGTTTAAAAGACCTTTGCATAAACAAGGTAATTGGCCCTATAGGCTCAGATTCAAATAAAATATTTCTTAAAAGTATTAAAAGAGCTTCATATATGATAGGATTTTTTATCAATCAACAGACTGACATAAACAAAGGGCCGGCGACAGGGGGGGGGGCATGGCTCCCCACTTTTCTGTAGAGCTAAAGAAAAAGTGGAAATAAATATAGTAAACGATTTTGTAAGTAATTTTGCCTAGTATTCTCTTAAATGTGTCCTTAGCTTTACCTTGATTGCTATGTCTTTACCATAGAAGACATACATAAAATTTAATATGGAAATTAGATCGAAGAAATCGGTCATTGTCTAAGTTTTACAACGAGTAACAGCTTGGCTTAGCAAATAAATCGAGAAACCTAGTCTAGGATAATTTGGTGCCAGCACAAATTGAAGGAGTTTCGTTTTTTCCATTGCCTAAACAATAACAAATTCTATTTAAACTCATTTTGACAAGCCCAGTTTGAAGGTTTTCAACCTTTTGTTAAAGCACTTAATTTCCGAAAAGGTTCAGATCAGATGTTACAAAGATATATCTTAACTGTACAAAATTACTTAACTTTTTATCTTTAGTTGATGGTTCTCGTATTGATATTTCAACGTTAATGTTTTTTATTAATCCGTGTTTCATTTATTTTTCTCCTCCATCTTATTTCGGGTACTTTTAAAATCTAAAAAAGGTTTCATTACGAGCTATATGATAGTGGTTATTCTAAAACTTTGCAAAACTGTTATATTTCAAGTCAACATCACAATAGACGCGACTATGTGACACCTTCAGTCAAAATTAATTTTAGATACAGTTTCTGGCCATCCCTAAGACAACATAATTCTAAAATTTTTCCTAAGCCCTTTCAAGACTTTGATATTTTGGTCCCTCCACTTTCAAATACGTTTCACCGGCCCTGAAACAGAACACAAGATATAAACAAGTCATCTATGTGTCTGTGAAACAACTTTAGAAAGTTTAGGTATGAAAATGAGGGCCCATTTTATACAGGAGACTAGACCGCACTGCCCCAAATGTTGGTTTATAATTTGTCAGTTGACTAAAAGCACGATGCTGCAAAATTCCTTTCAGTTCATCAGTGTGTTGGATTGGAAGGTCTCTTGAATTAAGTTTATAGAATTCCAAAACAGTAGCTTTATTCGGTCATTGAGAAAACCAGGATAAACCAGAGAGTCGGGAAAGTTAAAGCTGTTGGGTTAGCAGAGCCTGCTTCAGATTTTTGTGCGGAGAGAACGAAGGCCTATACTTTGACGACATTCTCAGGAGAATTACAGGCTGTAGAACTATATTTTATAGCCGACGTGGTCTTGTTCCTTGGCTTTTTTATGTTATCACGGCAACGAATGCGTCTACTGCGAGAATTTCTCGATGGCTCTTCTTGATTTTAAATTTTGTTTAATAACAGATTAGGTATTTGTTGAAAGTTAGTCAATTTTGTTATCATTATAATGTCTAAAATCTTTCTCGTAAAATTAGTCACTTTTTTACAGAATCGGATGAGTTTCTTTTGTGTCATCTACCTTGTGCGCAAAATCCTTCTAATTGAAATCCTCTCTGGATCGGACAGTTTAAAAACAACGACGCGAAGAAGCAAGCATATTTTGAAAGGGTGCGTTGTCTTCCCAACTTGAAAGGCTCTTATTTGCAGATCAATAAAAATAAAAAAGTTGTCTTCCCAAACAATTACACAATAGGCCAGAAAATACTCTATCAGTCACAATCATGCATGGAGCTTTGGTAAAATCGCAGTTATTTTCAACAAAGTTCTTAACGAACAGAATGCTTGATCCCTGCAAATATACAAGCACCACTAAAAAAACCAAATTCCGCTCGATATACGACTCTAAACAGCCTGACATGTAAAACTACAGATTCTTATATGCAGGTGTCGTTTGCAGATATAAAGCCCCGGTCAAATGTTCAGTTCGTTTGACCGGGGCTTAACATCAATACAAACGTTATTAGAAAACGAAGAGGAAACGACGAAATCAGCAATAGACATGCCGTGATAATAGCTGAGAAGGCTGCTTTCGACGTGCGAGTACAAGTGCGACATTTATTAGCAAATTCAAGGCAATGTTGAAAGAACGACACGTTTGACCTAGACAGCAACGCTTTCATACATACGTAAAAGCTGTACATTTCTACATTTAATATTCTATGTAAAGAGAAAAATCTCTGTGATCTTTTCCTATCTTTTGTATGACATTGACTTTCCTCCGCCTCTCTGAAATCTTTTTTTGGCACGGACGTCACCCTGAATGCAAAATAACGCTAACATGTAGACAGTGTGGTGGAATATGTCGACTAATTGCGTTGAAACATGAAAAACTATATATTTATAAATAGATAAAATCAGATAAACCGCACTTAATATCTAAAGAGCTACAGATAAATCAAGATTGCATTGAACGGCACTACTATTCATGTATATATATGGAACATTCCGAAATGGTCGGCACCAGCCGTTGGTCACCTAGCTTGAAAAAAACACTCAGACTGACTGCTTTATGCTACAATTATTAGGTTTTATTACAGTCACTTGTCAAAGAACTTTCTTGAAGCTTGAATCTTTGCGGTTATTCAAGGTTCCCCCATAAAAGAGCCCTAAAAAGTGTGATCAGAGAAGACGGAAAAAATTTACACGAGGGGGATAAGAATAAGCGTAAAGGAGAGGGAGGGGGTCTATAGAAAATGCAGTACTTTCTAAATACTATTTCCTAGTGTCAATAGCCTTTTCAACTGGAAGACGAGTGATATCGAGGACTTTTTTACAGTTGGCGTGAAGTTGGAAATCAGAACGTGTAAGCGCGGTGCTTCACTGATGCCTTCTTATGACTGCAACTGCAACTATCTAGCCAAAATAAACTTTGATTTGAACTAAAATGAATTTTGAATTGCATATGTTACCTTTTTTAACGGTGCTTCGACAATATTCCCTAACTGCTCCTTTGTGACATCATTTGAAGAGCCAGGTTCTGAAAAAACATTTGAAAAATACGTTGTAAAATGGAAACTTCTTGACATGTTTACATCCAGTATCTCACAGCAGATTGTATTACATTGCATCTAGTTGTCAGTGACATGTACTGTGTATTTTGTCATCAAAATGCGATGAGACAACTTAATTATACAATTTAATACTTAAATAAGCTCTTTACGTCTAAATGACAGAGCTTTTAACGGAAAAAAAGAAAATTAATTAATTAATGAACAGCAACAACAAGTAACAGTACGAACATGATTAAGCGACAACTATTAAATTTTATGTAAATTCAGCCAAAAAAAACAAGGAAAGAGAAGCAACAACTACAACAAAGAACTTAGTCTGCTTTACAGGAGGTGACCTGCATTTGTTTTTGGTATCTAAAAATTTCCCTTATAAGTCTTGCAATATTGGCCTAGAGTCTTTTATTGTTGTCTGTTTTTGTCATCAATATTTGATATTTTAGTATAGATACTTTAGTACAAATGCGACTATAAATTTTGAAGCTGCGAGCTTGGCAACTGTTGACAGGCAAAGCATGTAAAAAGATAACTTCCAATATGGCATATCGTAATAAAAATGTGGTAAGAACCCTTTATTCATAACGAAACACCAACAAAGAGTTTTGAATGACTTTCAAAGCAGAATTCGAGCGTTGATAAAATGATAAAATATTCCAGGGAGAGCACTAAATGGTAAAGCAAGGGCAGTACGATACTGAGTGTCAAAATTTTATTAAATTTGATATTTCTAGGTAAAAATACGAGGATAAACGATATTAGGCATTGTATTAAGACAATTTTAGTTATCGGTATTTTAGTGTGCTTGATTTCGTGTTTGGATTTTTATTGTCTGTAAGTGAATTTGATTCCACATGAATTTGAAAATCGTTAAGTCGTACTCCGGAAAACTCTAAACTCATTAAGTCGGACAGATGTTCAAATTCCATTGGATTTTCTTACCTGTTCAAAACAAAAGTCGTATTTTTGATAAGTCGTACATTCGTCAAGTCAGAAAATTTCCTTACCCTCCTTGCAGGTCCGACTTAACGGAATTCAAATGTATAGCGACAATATAACGAGCGAATAAATTAAGTACCAAAATGAAATAAATTTAATATTGGTTTTTAAAAACACCAATTAACTTTCACTCTAATACTGTTTCGTTAACAACAAGTTCCTACCCATATGGTGTAATATGGAAACTCAGCAGTATCTAGAAGGGGTTCAATTGGAACCAATGGGAAGATCCAGGACACGAGAAGATTACAGAGGTTGAGATTTGTTCTTATTCGGAGGCAGTTGAGAAATCCTTATTACAAAACACTAGTAGATTATCTAAGTATGAATGGTCAATACTTCAGAAATAAGAAGCTTTGACTGTCCTGAATATATAAGTCAGATATCTACCAAATGTACGAAGACTTCGAAAACAACACAAGTTTCATTTCATAAAGGACAAATCCAAACTTTTAATTGGCATTTCGATAAGCGATAATTTTGAAGGATAAATACCTGTCTTTATTTTCCCTGCTTTTGAGTAGTCAAATGGGACAAATGCAGGGCCAGTTGCTGCTTTTTCATAAGAGAACAAAACAGGTGACTCTGATCCACTGTTTGGGTCTTCCGACAAGGCACCCTTTTTCTGCTTCTTAACAAGCTATGAGAAACAAAAAATCGATACAAGGTTTAAATTTTCCACAATAACAGAGAGAAACAGCAGTAGAATAAAGTTTTTTTGTGCCACTAATCATTTCCAAAAATGAAAAAAAATATAAGCGCCTGAAATATAAAGTCTTGGCTCGAGGCTCAAAAAAGGGTCCAGAAAAAAATTGAACTTCGTATGAAAAAATTTCCAACATAAAGCCATTGCAATTAATGCAGAATGAAGATCAGTGTTTAGCAGGAAGTGGCGATCAAAACAGAGATTCATAAAAACAGAAAGAAAGCAGAGATGGCCACCTTCTCTTTTGGACAAGAATAACTACGAGGAAACTACAAGAAAGCTCCATAAAACGTTTATGGTAGCAATGATAATGGAAATAAAAAATCAACGGCCTTTCTTAGAGGAAATACAAGCTTGATACGTCTATCCTTAATTCTCGATACCTCATCTCTTAGAGTCTTCTGTGAACTGTTGGTAGATTCTTCTTGTGATTTTCTTTTAGGGGCATTGTCTATCATCAAGAAAGAAAAACCATAAATAAATCACCAAATAATATAAAAAATCAATATTTTACCAATGACAAAAAACTAGAAATTTCCGATAAAATGTATATAAAACGACTCATGAAATCATTAGCTCTGCCAAAGTAAGAGAAGGTACAACTTTCAAGGTCTGCTGTCAAAATTAACTGTCAACGTGAGGTAATCTACTCTAATACCTTCAGAACTTGGCCCTGCACCGGCTGTCTCTGTCTCTGCCTCTTTGTTTTGTTCCAAAAATGTGACAGTAGATTGTTTCCATTTTTTATTAATCTAAAAACGAATATTGAGTGGTCAGTAGACATTAATGCAGAAGATTCCAGTAATGCATTAATTCATCATTCACTTATTTATCTATCTGTTGAAATTATTTATCAATTGACTTATTTCTTTACTTATTCACTCATCTACCTATCTATGTAGCTATTTATTTATTAATTTATCCATTCATTCATTTGTAAGATCATTCGAAGAATACCAAATGTATAAGACAAGATAAATCTATGCTCTGAACTCTCCCTCCTTGATTCAAGGCTGTTTCGCAAGAAAAAAGGAAGATTTTTCAAAATTCATTTTTTCAAAATTGCACAATAAGCAGTTGATTTATCATTTAGTCTTGATAATAAAAACTAATTTGCAAACTCTTAAGAACTTTAATAATACTAGACCACTTCACAAAAAAAACACGAAAAAAATTTGCAACTGCGCCAATAAATTTATAATTTCAATCAAAAAGTTACTGACCTCTGCTGGATCTGTGGAATTCCTTTCCTTGGGTAAATACTGAAACGAGAAAGTTCCCTTGGCACTACGTACATTTGTTAGGCCTAATTCGTGAAAATTTCTCATTCACTTTCTAATGTGATAGTAAAGGAAGACTTCAGATTCTATTAGCAAAATATGCAGAAAAAAGCAAAAAATATTGTAGTACAACAATCAGTGAAAGGATTAGTAAAACAGCAAACTTCAAAATTGCATAATTGGCGGAAACATGGAGCATAATATTAAAGCAATTTCATCCGACACTTCTTTAGAGTATGTTGTTTCAACATTAGTAGGGATTTTCTCAATTTCTGTATTATTTTGAACTTTTTAAGTACAACGAACAAAACATTCAATGTGGACTTCCATGTCTAGCTTATATGTGATTATATGACAATATTAAGCCTAAACTATATACAAAAGGAAAGAGTTGTTGTGTTAATATACCCTAGGCTCTCACCAACTCAAACGGGCTTCTGAATGACTCTAAGATAAACCGTGCCTTTCTTTCATTATCTGTTTTCTCTTTTTTATCCTAATGAAAGAAAAAGAAACATAAGATACAAAGAAATTGTTTATAATAGATGGTAAGAATTATATTATTGGAGAATCCCATGATCTCATGCTGTACCAATAGTCAGGAGCATCATGTAAGTTTAAAACTCCTAGGCCAAGTCAAGAAAAAGTGACACGAGAAAAATATATTTGTAGGATATTCTGAAGACAAATATTAATCATTTTTCATGTAGAACAGAAACTATCATTCAAACATTTTACAGTTACGTTTTGCATAGAACAATTTCAGCGTGACTCAGTGGCATGGTGGACTGTGGCAGGCAGAGTAGAGGGATAATAGCTGCTGGAAACGTCTCGTCTTTTGCAATCACCTCTTTATTGAAGTGTCTATTGACAAAATGTGGATATCATAACGTCGTTAAGATCTTAAACAGAAGTATCTGATGATCTAAGAAAGGCTTTACGATGCTCTGAGTGTAACTTTTCATTGTGGGCGATACGCAGGCAAATTCTCTGCAGCTCAAACTTTGTAAAATCTGGCTTGTCTTCTACAACAGGGTTCAATCTCTCAATTTCGGATCATATTTTCTAGTTTTGAAGAACATTTGTAGACCTTTAATGGAAGCGTATTTGGCAAGTTATTACTCAAAAACCAGATATTAGATACTCTGCTTGTGATTCTCGACCATAAATGACACTACTTGGCAGTAGGACGGTTTCTGCTTCGTTCTTAACTTTATTAAGATTAACTATGGAGGTGGCATTATTATCCGCTAGAAGCTTGAACAATTCTAGTAGATATCCACTGACGATAAATAACAGCGATTTTCAATACGATACAATTGCAGTACGCTTCACTGAATTCCGGCTCTCTTTGTCAACACTTTCTTCTTTTTCAGCCTTCAGATTCAATTTGTTGCAAGGTAGATCCTTTTACGGATGTATTTCGCGTGAATAAGCCTTGAAAATATTCGATTGCAAAAGAGCATTGATTTTTCTGATGCAGAAGCCTTGCCAATTCAGACTTGCAAATGATGTTAGTTTTTCCATGAGATGCGTCACCAGAAAACAAGATGCATGGCAATAGATGTACAGCATGACTGCCCAGTTAAAATTGGCAACGCGTCAGAGAGTCAGGGCGGAAATTCACTGTGAGCAATATACTTCGCCTTTGTCACTTTATTTCTGTGGCACTTTCTGTAAAAGTTTTAGAGGAAGGTTTGGATACTTCTAAACTTAAAACCAGCTCTTTATGAAGTATGCATTCTACATTTCAGTTATACTAATTAGATGAACAGTCCAATCTATTCTTCTATCATCAACTGCACTCACTCTGACGTCCCAGCTTTCTTTCGTACCTTTCTCAAATACACTATCATAATCATTGTCATCAAAACTCGCAAGTAGGTACTCCTCATACTGGTCATAAGATGTGTGCCACTCGCATATCTGCTACATGAAAGTTTCGTTATAGCGGAACGTTAAAAGAATTCAGCGCCAAAGTGTTTATAGTTCACCTTTTTCCTAAATCAATGTTTCATATGTCACAGATAAGGTTTCATCTCCTACCCGACCCGTCAAACGGAAATACAAACCAAAGAATTTAAGACTAAAGTCAAAACTTCATTACCAAAATTTACCAAAACTTCATTACCAATTTCATAAACTTCTAAAAACTCACAATCCCGAAATGTATGTACCACTAAACATGACTTGAGTACAGTCTGACATTTGAAAAGAACGTTCCTCTGAGCACTTGCTGCATCATAAAGTAATGAATAAGTCTAATTCTTGTTGCTTCGACACATTCTTGCCGTGGGAACTAAACCAGGTATTCCTACAGTTACAGTTTTATAGATCTTAAAAGAATTTTCTGATCACCCAACTTTGACTTTATTGGGTTTTACAAACACGGGTTTCAGCGAGCCAACCCAACTCTGCTACAATAGAAAGGATCCAAAAATACAATTGGTATTTTGTAGAAAACAAAAGATAGGATTAACGCCTAGTAACAGACAAGAAACAAGAATACACAAGCATGTGAGAATTATAAATTCTATTCTTACGGGTTCGTCATGAAACAGGGTGGCCACGGTTAACTTCTTGACGGATGGTCCACTCGGAGTGTAAATTTCGAAGCCAGTTTGGGCAGAAGAGTAGTAGTCACTTCCTTCTAGTGTTTCAACGAACGAGTCATCTTTTTCCTGGAACAAATAGAGGAAGTTATAACGACAAGAAAAGATAAATCAGAGGTACAGTAAAAGATTTGCAAAAATCGAGAATGATTGATAAATAAGGAGAGCATCAAATGGAAAAATTCGTTGTTATATGCATCTAAAAAAGATAGAGGACAGAAAGCCTTTAGCATTGCAAAATTGTACAAAAAACGGAAGCCTTTTGCATTGCAAAATTGTACAAAAAACGGAACTTGATCAGAATCTTACAGCCGAAATTAACTCAAATGCAAGATGGCTTTGCATCTTATTGCAATTGGTAAACAAAAGAGGTTAAAACAAGAATTGTATAAGAAATAACTGGGAAATCAAAACCTTTCGCTTGGGTTGTGATGTATCTTCCGATGGTTTTGTGTTAGAACTTCCTGAAAGCTGAACAAAATTTAAGTGTAGCTTGACGACATCGCGAGGAGATAAATATATTAACTGAAACAAAGTGTTGGTAATATTTATATACGTGTATATGAATATGTTTATACTATTTAGAGTATAGAACAGGAGATCTATAAAAGGTTATGTGTCCAGCTAAATCAAGCGACTCTGGGGTTGTTAGAAACATGTGATTTTTCATGTCATTGCCCCAGCCATTACGGTCATTCTGTTTATCCATCCTGCTGAGAGGTTAGCTTTTCATGTGAGCAGTTTTGCATCGCAAGAATACTAACCAATCACAAACCGTTATTTTGATGGGTGGCTTGACAAGTTGGGTATACGCAGTCCTTTTATGTGGACACGGAATAGCAACTTCAAGCCGGCCTGCTCTATACACCAGATAGCGTGTACAGCTCTGCCTATACGACATAGAGCACTTTATCACAGATCGGTAAACAGTAACTTTTCATTGACTATGTACATACATAATTAAACAGACTTGCCGATTAATGGGGAATATTAAAGATTTCTTGAGACAGAGACAATGGCACCATTTAAACATGCAGAGGAACGTAGATGCTTGAAGATACTTAATGGCTTAGAGATACTTCATGGCGTCCTGTTTTCACATCAGATGGAAATAGCATACTTTTTAATTCCGCTTTCAATTTTCAAAGCGATAGCTTGAAATATTTTAAATATAGAATTTCTGATTGGCCTAATTTGACCCACAACTTGGTTTATATCTTTCCTAGCTTACAAAGTTTTCAATCAATATTCTGATATTTTTTACACTGAAGAGTGTCAGAATAATAATAATAATAATAATAATAATCAATTTATTTAAAGTTGGCGCTACATAGCTATTTACAAAGAAATGAGCTAATCCAAGCCAACTGTTAAAACTACTACATCAACTAAATACATACGAGATTAAATACATAAAATTTTAAATACAAAATGATCCATTAAAAAACTATAAAAACCTGAGCTATTTAAAAGATAGAATTACAAAAAACCAAGTTGTGGCACGAACGTCCTACATAGTTTGCATGTACAGTCTGTGCCATTCCAGCTTTTAATTTCTTTCTTAAACTCATTAATAGATTGAGCATTCCTTATGTGCTGAGGTAAAGAGAGCCAAAGACGCTGCCCTCTATATTTGATAGTTTCGGTTCCATAAATGGTTGTTCTTACTCTTGGTGCCATAAATTCATTATTATTTCTCAAATTATAAACAGCATGACGCTCGCAGAAAATCTCCCTCATAAAAGGAGGGTTGATATTTCCCTTTGTTTTAAACATTTCAATCATAAGATTTCGCAGGTGTTTTACATGAATATTTACCGAGCCATCATTTTCTAGCAGAGTGTTGAAGCTAGAATCATAGTCTTTGTATGCAATTCTCAGAGCTCTTTCGTGTATTCTATTAATCTTACTATTCAAGTGCCTACTGTGGAACATCCAGACTAGTGGACAATATTCGAATTGGCTAATTACAAATGCTCTCATTAAGATTTTAAGTTTATTAGCGTCCATGTATCCAGATATGCGAGCGAGGGCGGTGAGTTTGCTACCAGCCTTCTTACATAACTTACTGATATGTGTCTCGAAACTGAGTTTTTTGTCTATCACAACACCTAGTAGCTTTTCCTCTTCCGAGTTTTCTATGATAGAATCTCCTACATTAACTTTAACCTGTTGATTAGAACTTTTGCCAAGAATAAGTAAATGACATTTGTTTGTATTCAACTTCATAAAGTTATCAGCGAACCATTGGATAGTTATACTTGAGTCATTCTCTAGCCTTGCAATTACATTATTGAGATTTTTATCGCACGCATATAGAGTTGTATCATCCGCGTAATTGCAGATATCCGTATCCATTAAGGAGAGAAGTAAGTCATTTATGTAGATGTTAAAGAAGAGGGGACCAAGAACTGATCCTTGCGGAACACCAAGGAGCAATTGTTTGTAGGTACTGAATGATCCATTAATCTTAACTCTCTGATGCCTATTTTCCAAGTAGCTGTTAACAAGACACAGTGCTTCATGGCTGAATCCGTAAGCATCTAGTTTTGCTATAAGGAGGTCATGTTTAATACAATCAAAGGCTTTCGAGAGATCCATAAGGATTGCGCCAACATTTTCTCCCCTGTCTAAGCTTGCTTTCCATTTTTCAAGCATTCGAGCTAATGTGTGCTGCACATTGTACCCTTTACGAAAACCACATAAAAGTGACGATAAATACGATTGCATATAATCAATAATCTGTTTATCCATAAGTCTCTCAAAAACCTTTGAAACAGTTGGTAGTACACTAACCGGTCTGTAATTTTTCTTATTGGTTTTCTCCTCCGATTTGTGGAGGGAAGTGACATCTGCTAGTTTTAATAGGTCGGGAAAGACACCATTTTGAATGCAGTTATTGAAAATAAGCTGCAACGATTCGGAACAAATGTCAGAGCTATTTTTCAGCACTCTCGCGGGTATATTTCCAAAGGTTGTTGCCTTTTTAGGATTAAGCCCCTCAATTTCAGTGTATCTGTTCCACAGTAACCTCTTGGAATTTAAAGTAGCCTTTAATTCGAGCAAAACTGCGAATTTTCCTAATGCTAGGGTGTTTTGAATATTTCATTATAGCCTTTTCTATAGGATCTGATAAACCATCTGTACTTATGGTAACCTCCCTGTTCCCTGTCAGACCTAATGAGTCAGTTATCGATATAAAATAATCGTTCATGGCTTCTGCAACTTCCTTATCATTGGAAATCATCCTATTATTATCGATAAGGGTAATATTTGAGTTCGATCGACTTTTATCGGAAAGGACAGGTTTTACAGTTTTCCAAAATTTCTTGTTGTCTGTAATATCAGAAGTATTCAAATTTTTATAGAAATTTCTTTTTTCCGTTCTAAATAATTTGACACACAAATTACGCTGTCGACGAAACGCTTCCCAATGTTCAGCTGTGCGGCTTTTATTATATCTATTTTTCAACCTAGAGCGCAGCATAGTAGCTTTACGAAGAACTCGATTCATGAAGGGACCATCATTGGCCCTTGCGTATTTTTTCTTCATCGGTGCATGCTTATCAAGTACCTTCTCAAAGCAATTTTGAAAAGAACTGTAGTCTAAATCAGTTGTTTTAATGCTAGCCAACTCTTCCTTAAGTTCTCGTTTGAAAGTCTGCTCCGAAAATTTCTTATATTCTCTATAGTTAATAACAGTAGGTCCAGCCTTTTGGTACGTCGTTTTCAAAACTGTGACTATCATTTTGTGAAAGTCAGAGAGACCTGTCTCGGTAGTGGTGGTATGTTGGAAGCTCCTATATCTGTTGGTTAAGATTAGGTCAATACACCGTGGATTGTCAGCCTTGAAACAGGTTGGCTCCTTCACCAGATTTCTGAGGTCATAACTATTCATAAAAGTACGAATCTGTTGACCTGTCTCTACTGTATTAAAATCCCCAAGTAATAAAAATTTGTCATATTTTTCACTGTAATGATCAACTGCTTTGCCAAGATTTTCGAAAAAGTGTTCTTGTGATTGGGACGGTGGTCTGTAAACACTGAAAAGAGCCCACTTATTCCCCCTTAAATTGATTTCAAAACAAATACATTCAATGTCAAGATCAAATTTAAATGACTTTAACTGCTTCATTGTGATGTCACTTTTCACATAGACCAACAGACCGCCACCCTCACAATTTCTGTCAAGCCGTAGTGGATCAGCATAACCTTCAATATAGAATTGTCCCTTTGGGAATGAATCATCAATTTTTGTTTCGGCGACCATTAGAATGTCAAGATTCTGTGAAACTATCGCTTTTAGTGCATCAAATTTATTTCTAATGGAATTTATATTTAGATACCCGATAGTCATACGACCTATGTTCTTTAAACGCAGATTATGTAATGCTGATTTTGCATCACTGTCGTCGGTGGTGTCATGTAGGTCATGCGCAGTAGTTCCAGCAGTAACTGCTGGGGCGTTACAAATACTGGCGCTGGATAGATCAGGCTTCCCAGGTTCTATGCCGATGGGAAGCTCTTTGTATGGTTTTACCCCCTCGATTTCTAGTCAGTATCCTAGATTATAAATAAAATTGTTAGCTAAAAGCGTGTTTCCACGGTCATTTAGATGTAGCCTGCTACGATTAAGGTGTATGCTTGGATCTATATTCGAATTGTCAATGAATTTCAAGTTCTTGCTTATACATATTTGCTTCAGCAACTTGTTTACCTCAGTGGCTTTTCCATTTAACGAGTCGCCCCGGGGTACCAACCCTGAAATCAGGACCGAGTTACTCCTGGTTTCCAATGTTCTAGCTAGTTCGAAGATGTCTCTAGCGATGTTGCAGGCAGGTTGGGATCTTCTCAAATCGTTCGTACCACAGTGAAGAATGATTGTCTTCGGATTTTTTTTATCGTTGGGCAAACGTAACTGTTCATACAATCCACTGTTGCTCCTGAGAATGACTTAACATAAACATTTCGGTCATTCTTGATTGCTTGCTTCATTTTGAATCCTTGAATATTTTTTACCATGGAATCGCCGATGATAGTAATACAATCCTGGGTTCGTTTTGGCTGTTGGTCTTGATCAATAACACGATGGAGATCCTTTTGCCTTGAAATTTCCTTTTGCCTTTTGCCTTTTGCCTTTTGCGAGAAAAAAGCTTTAGGTCGAAAATTGTCTCAAAATGCTTGCTTTCTTCAGAGCCATGCTAAATTCTGTGAATGTGGCGTATATTTTACACTTGCGAAAACGTTTATGGTGAGACCAAATATTGTGAAAACCTTGAATAATGTGAAAACCCAAGCCATTATTACAGAATCATCCAAAGAGCTGAAAGTTAAACTGGAAATGACTCCTGGTTTCCAAATGAAAGGAACAACACGAAACTAAACACCTTTGTCCTAAGACTGCTGACAAGCCTTAAGGGGAGCCTTTTATTTGCGTGGCTTGAAGTCATAGGTACTCTAGTATTGTTGAGCCACATCTTTGTTAGTGTGGTGGGGAATGGTGTTGCAGTGGGGAAACAAAATCAACGAAAACATCAAAACAGGACAATGTTGTATGTTGCTAATTTGTAGGAGCATGTTGCTAATTTGATACATTTTCTGCTCCTCTGTAGCAAAGATTAGCCTAGATTTCGATCGAGCAGCTGATTAACAGAAACACAACAAATATGGTGCATAAATCATTCAATAGTCCCATTCTAAATAGCCTTGGTCAGTCTTTCACACGATTATCTGACATTCACAGCTGGGTTTCAGGTTATATAAAGGTGCGTTTTAGCTAAAACCAAGACGAGAACAGCTTGAAAAGAGTGTATTTTGCTTATCGTAGAACTGACACGAGTAGTCGATTGGATTCGGGCATTAAATACTGTCACCAATCCTGTCTTACAAAATATTCAAGGAAGGCTTTTTGGATTGATTGATTTCCATTTACGCTTTAGTATTCTTATCATACTCTGTAATTAGATTGATGGTAACAAATAAAAATTTGCAATAATTTATATTTCTAAAACGTTGGTTCAGTTTAGTTTCAATTCTATTTCATCTAATTTTAAAATTCCACTGCATACAAAGATTGAAGAACAAGATTAAAAATGATGAAAAACAGGAAACTAATATAAGTAATAGCAGAAAAATGATAGAAGTCTGTATGGAGGGAAATTACCCTAAGGACCAACTCTCTCAGCAGATAGACTAATCGAGTAGAGAGCACTTTTGTTTTGAACATGTCAAACAGTGTAATCCAGTCAGACATTTTGTTGTTGTAACTTTTCAAACTTTTAGATTCAAAATAGATATTTTTGACAAGTCAATTAAACAGCCAAGACATAACAAAATAGTCTATTCGATGCGTTTTGTGGATCATTTACATAAATGAGAAAAAGAAGTTGACCAATTACAGAGCCCTGTGGTACACCCAAAGTTACACCAAGAAGACTTGAATTGTGGCAATCGACAGATGGATACTGTTTTCTATTGACGAGGTAGGACTTCAACCAGGCTACAGCAATGATTCGATACCACAGTGTTCAAGTTTGTGAAGAGGATTTTGTGATTGACAGTATCGAAAGCTTTCTGGAGATTAAGAAAGATCAAGAAACTTTTGTTGTCTAAAGTGTTATCAGTGAAGATTCATTTATAATCAAAGATAAGCGTGAAGATATACAAGGAGAGAATTTTTAATAATTTTATTGGTAACTATTAAAACCTGTAGATTGCCTGTTTTTAGCAGATTTATGAAATCAGGACATTCGTGAGGAGTGGGAGTAATGCAAAAATTATACAAATAATCTAAGAAAGATTAGGGTGACCTGGATATTCCTATTGTGACACCAACTGCTATATTTACAATGAGATCGTGGAAGATAGTAGCCATGGTTGCAGAGTCCGTTATTGAATTTTTATTTGCATCCTTAAGTTTTGCATTTACATCACTTCATTACCAATCAAGTATTCAAAGTTAAGCCTTTAGAAATTACCAAATAGGTTTTTGGTACAAATAAGATGGCACGAAATAGCAGAAACACAGCATACTCTAGTGTCTCTAATAGACGCCCCTCCCGTGTATTAATTTCAGAAGAATTCGCCCTCCCCACAACGCTTATTAGCACCCCCCTTCAATTAAATTTTACAAATCTGTCATGACCAGAACACGCAAAAAATTGAATGAAAGTAGCTATTTTTTTAACTGTCATAATTCCCTTTGTTATGTTTGTCTATCTTTATCTCTAACCATCTATCCATTATCAAGTAACCAGGGTCACTATCTTACTAATTCCACTGCCTTTTAATCAAAAGATTTACCAACATCCACTCTTTCAATTAGCTCCCCTTTGCTATTGAAATTTGCTGTCATTTTATTGAAAATTGGCCAACCTGAGCACCCCCTTCTATTAGAACCCCCTTCTATTGAGGACTGGTCGACATGAACACCCTTTTCTATAAGCACCTCCCTTCTATTGAAAATTGGCCGGAATGAACACCCCCCTTCTATTACCTCCCCCTTTCTGTTAGAGACGCTGGAGTACTGTCGTCCGACACTCTTTTTTCTTCTTTCTTTATTTAAAGTTGGTACAATTTCTAGCTATGCATACTCAAGCTAATTAAAACCAACTATATTCAGAGTACAAACGTCGGATAACGACCGAAAGAAAGCTGAGAATTAATATAACGTTTTGATCGAAAGAAACATGAGAGGAAGACAGACACTTTCGATTGGTTCTTTGTTCTTTACCAAAAAGCAACCGCTAACCTCTCGCCTAGTTGAAGAGCCCAAGAGAGAAAACGATTTCTATCTGTCTACACGGGTCGGAATGTTCTGCATTTTTGTAAACAGATTCCGAAACTCCGAAATGATTTGATTTGACTTTCGAATTGTGATGAAACGTTGCCAATCCACGGCATTATGCTTCAACGTCCCCGTTGCTTATCCTCGACGATCATACTCTGAAGAGCGTAGGACGAAAAGTACTTCTTAAGTATGCTATATCTCCACCTATTCCGTTCAATCTAAAAGAAATATCTCTTGACTAAATCTTGAATCATCATGCTGATAATGTGAAAGAGTTTTGTTTGAGGGAACTGCTTTTCTTACGATCAAAAACTGTTGAAAATGATGTTGCCATTTTTGATGTAAAGAGTACACAAATTTGAGAAAACTTTGTCTATAATAGTTGAACAATAGTCAGATTCTCTAGGATATTGTAAAGCAGATTTTCTTTTTCAATTATCCTGATTAAACAAATTATTTCTGGTTTTGATATTTGCTTAGCAGAAGCCCATTGAGTTTGCTTTGAGCTGAAAAAAGTTTTCTGCGCACTTTAAAAGTAACAAAACAAATTTTCTTAAATAAACGACAAGATTCTGAATTGTAACATCTTATGTGTTTTGAGCCACAAACGTCCCCTAATTTGACGGTATTTTTAAAAAGCTTACCTTTTTAGCGTTGAAAATTCGTGCCTCTTTTACCAGATTATAAATCTCAGCTACTCGCTGTCTGACCAGTGGAGGTATAGGATTGCAACATGCAAGGACTCCTTCGGGTTCCCTGTGAGAAATCATTATTGAAAATTACCAATGTGCAAAAGGGCAGCCCTATATCTTCTACATTTCTGCTAAAAAAACCTCACCTCTGGTGCTCACGTCAAAGGAGCTGATATTTAGCTAAGGTGCAAACGTTTGGCAATTTCTAAGGATGAAACTTTACACTAGTATGTATTGCTCACGTAGGGATGCAATGAAAATGCAGCTAGCGCACTACTCCACTACTCCATAGTTACCCAAGACAAAAGACGAAAAATTACAAACACAGTTTGAAAATCCAATACCTTTAAAATTCATTTAATTTACAGGACAGTTGATACTCTGATAATAAAAAGAAGTATGATATGCAATTTAAGAGTAAAAGCATTCGGGTGAAGTTGGTGCCTATAGAGGCGGGGGGAGGGGGTGGAGGTTCCTCTTGATCAAACCTATTCAAGAAACATTCTACATGTGACTTGAACATGAAATGATGAAATGGCGATGCCAACGTCCTTGCTTCAAGGATTCACAATCATAGCGGTCTGAAAACTATATCTCCCATTGTTGCAAAGACTTGCAACAAACTTTTTTCGAGCTCCGTCTTTTCGTACTTTTGAATCTACGCCGAGCAGCAAAATGTATCTTCGCATCTTAGCTCTATCTACTTCTATACTTTTTCAGTTCTATAATGTAAACATAATCCTCAGACATCGTAGCACTAGTGCTGTGGCAGTGCTGCTATGCACTGATTGAAACAGAAACACGTTGCTGCGAGACATTCTTACACTGGCTACAAAATTTGCACTGACGATGTAGCGGCTCCTTTAAAACTGTTTCCATTTGACTTTGTCTAGAGAACTGAAAAGCACAAAAACAGCAACAATGTCAAAGCTTTTTATCCAAGCCGATTACAATCTGAACAAGATAATATGCTAACTGTGTGACGCGCGTGCTTTGAGAGTATTGCAATGATTGTGATAGACAGTGACTGTGCCTTCTATATACGAGGCTTTGCAATGTCTCCATGCTGTGAGTCTTTCGGATACAGTAAATTACTATTACATTGCTAAAACCGCGTTTTTAAAAAATCGAATCGACTGAATTCGATATCAAAGATGTTCTTGGTTCAGATATATTCGAATCAAAAACGAGCACCTGCATCTCGAGATTGTCCAATCCGACATCCCTGAGTAATCATATTCGTTGATTATCCATTAGACACATTCAATTGAAGCTGGACGAAGTCGAACAAAGCTGGATGAAGTCGAACGATGGTTGAAGAAGGAAGTCGAATGAAGCTGGATAAGCTTACACTGTTTTGATTTTTGAAAATCCAGTTTGGATCACGTTAATAAACAAGATCATGTGAATGCGGCTAAACATACGGACATAAATAAGTTGTTATGATTTAGGCGTTTCACAAGGGTTTGACATAAGTCCTCTTTTTCTTATCTTGTATATTATTGACCTCCCCAGGGCTATTCACGAACCCCCCCCCCCTGTATCCAGGTACGCATAACATAGCCTGTCCAACGTGTTTGACGATCCAAAAAGGTAAATTAGATACCAGGCTACGAGGCAATAAACTTTCATTCGATGTTGCAAAAACTCTAGTTTGATGTATACCTCTCGAAAATTAAAAAAAGCTTGATAATGAGTTTTACGTAGTCAGAAACAAACAAAAGCAGTTCCTATAAGGTCTTCAAGGCAATCAGCCTTTAAAAACACGTGTCTTGAAAGTCTGAAATCTCTAGGCCTGTGTTATTGAGCTCCACTTTCGATACTTGTGTTCTGTTTGGTGTTGTGCTGACTTCACAGAAATTTATCACCTGGAAAAACTTCTTGTTGACAGAAAGAAAAAAAGCAGCTTTGACGTCCCGACATTTATCGAATGGTTGAGTTGGAAGAAAACTGGAGGGTTTATTGACAATGAAAGTACACCGTTGCCTCCACATTCATATGTTTGCTTTTTAGAAGAAAATTAGAAGGCTATTATAATTATAGATGAAAAAAAGGTTGAATTAATGAAAAACACGTGTAAACCATATTTTGCATATATTGGCGACAATATCTGTCATTTGCACTTGCGGTGCAATTTGCACTTGATTCATGATAAAAATGAAGCAAATGATTCATGAGAAAAATGAAGAAGTCTCAGACGTATCCTAGACGCCTGCACACATGATCACTAACTAGACTCCCAGACATACTGGAATTTTGCTATGATCGAAGTACCGCAAGTAGCAGAGCAATCAATGCCTTAGAAGAAAAAAACACTCATCGACGCTACAGATGATTAAAAAAGGAGTCCAACAAATCTTAAACATCGCAGATCAAAACACAGCGCTTAGTGTAGGATGTAGATAGGTTGAAAGATCAATTAAACGTTTGTAAATTTCAAGCAAGCGACAGAAGAGACTATGACTGAAAATCAGCAAGACCTCCATTCTGTCGCCAGGGCTTACGTGAATATACAAACAAAGATTAAGATAATCGTGACTTCTTGAATAAATCATGCTACAGACAACTTAGCTCTACCTGAACAAACAACCCAAATGTATGAAAAATGAACTCACCTTGGCAACTGCTCAGCAATACGCAGCATCATGTGATTGGGTATGACGTACCTAAAAGATCAAATAATTCTTTCATGAAGGAATCCCATTGCCGACTGCTTATCCACGCAGTATTTTTTGGAGTACTCAACAACCTATTATTTGATACAAACATGCGGCAAACCTTTTAGAAATTGCAATAATTAATATCACCAGGAAAGATTTTCGTATCATCAAATGTCAAGATTGCAATAAAAGGCAGACCGATTATCAACGCACAAAAAACTTTGTTCAAGTGTGAGAAACGTTGAAAAATTGTAAATTGTTACTGGTTCCTTGCTGTTTACCAATTAGGGATCACTACTCCTTTACGTAGCTGAAAAGTCCAAGAGAGAAAATGAATTCTGTCTACACCAATAGGTCTTGATGCTTGACATAACATAAGGAAATAAAGACACCCCAAAAAACCAAAATGACAAAATGAACTTTTTTCAAGAATGTTTCGCTGTAGGTTTATGTTTCAGCGCTGTATATTTTTGCTGACGTTTAGAAAGGAGAACAACAAATTCAGTCACTAGTAGGAAACTTACCCATAACTTTCATCTTCTTCTCTTGCTGTTCTATCTCTCCAGGCAACCAGAAGTCTTAAACACTCTAGCTGCAGAAAGCAATGCAAATTATTGCAGTGGTACATTATGGCTATCGAAAAAATAAAGGAAAAGTTCAACAAAACTACCGCACAGGATTGCCTCTTCTTCAATTTTAATTTCTACTTCAAATATCATCCATAAAAGGATTTTTAAAAAAATGTATAAATGTATAGATTGGAGCTTTAGGTGGAAATGGCGTGCTTTTCGGTGGAGAAAACAGGATCGTTCTCAAAAATCACTCTGAAAAATACTGCTGGTGTTCTTAATGACTGCCGTGAGAGTGCAGAACAGGGGCCCCCTTGCTTCAATAGCACAAAGGTTGGCTGATCCAAAAAAATTAGTTGCCTTGAGACAATGAAGTTACCTCGGTACATGTTCATTAATTCATTACAGTTCAAATCTAGGCAAAAAAAATTACATCCTTACTTGCTGGTCGTTGAGTTTCTTTTTGTACTTGGTGCAAATATCCATATATGCATCAGGAGTGAATATGGGCTTCTCGTAGACCTAAAAATGATCAAATATGAGATAAAAGACTAGATTTGAAGATTCCATCAATATAAAGGTAACTGAATAAAAGTAGAAGGTCCCCCTTGGTAGTCACTTGCCCCTCGGGGTATCGTCCTTCATTGTAGCGAAGTAGTTTATAAGTAATGTTTCAGTTATCTCATCATCGTAAGAATTTTGATTGTGCATAAAAAAGGGGAATCTAATCTTCTGAAATTATGAGATTTAAAGAAGGTCTTGTAGATACTAAAAAGCCGCAAAAAAATTCGAATGCATTCTATCTTGATTTCAAAACAAAAATGTTCTAACCAGTTCATTGTTTGAAAAAGGAGAGCTGTTTCGAATGCATTACTACGGAATCGTTGGCTTAGCACGCATTCTCCGGTAGTCACAAATATAAAACGGTAGACCCGAAAAAGGCTGTTTTTTGCTTGGATGATTTCTACTGAATTTAACTACTTCTGCGAGTTTCTATTTGTGTTTTCTTTGTTGCTACCATCTCGAGAAGATCACACACTGTGAATCCCTGGGCTTAGAACTTTTCTAACTCTTGATGAAAGACTCCAACCACTGGGCAATGTCATTTTAAAAAATTGCTTAGGCCATGAACAAAAAAATATTTTGACTGTTCTATGTTGTAGCACGAAAGTGCAAATTGGAGCATAGAATTGAATATAGAAATGTAGAAAGAATTATACATTTTAAAAAGTGGAAAGAATAGCCTGTCGATGGTGAAAGTTCAAGGGCTAACCTTTAAGCATATTTTTTTGCTCATCTGATACACGGCTTTCATTAAAGATGACTGCCCTTCTGCTTTTTCGAAGAGAATATCTCTCAGTTTATCATAAATGTACAGCAGATAGTGTGTATCCTCACGAGCATATTTTACCATCTCATCTGGTAAGGGCCTAAAATATGAAGATATTCGAGGTACTAAAAACAGTGTGCGAAATCCAACATTTGGATTGGGCGACAAGCCAGGTAAAAAGTCATCATTCCCCTTTACTGTTAGACTATTACAACATTCTTACGTCATTTCCAGTTACGTGCTATGCTAATATTCAAACTGACATATGCCAAATAAACAAAATAGTCAGGCACGAGGCACAACACTGAAAGTGCAATCTATACCTCAATCTCCAATCGGCAAGCTGGTATTGTTTATCGGCAGCAATATCACAGTACTCTTTCAGAAGAAAGGCAAGGGAGAAACGGGCCAGTTGCAGGATTCTAGCTGCCTGCCCAGTATCAAACATGTTTACTATGTACAAACCAAAGTCACGCTGAAGCCATTCAATGTCTTGATCTGCACCATGCATAACCTGAAACAACAAGCACAATTCTACAAAGCCTAAGCCCGTAAGCTACATATTAAATCTTAGTGAAATATAGAAAGGGGTGCAAAATGACGTCATAAATTGCGAAATGATTGTAAAAATCACACATTTTTAATCGAATGAAAATTTTCATACCTCCAAAATCCGATACTGACATCAAAGCATCAATGAAAGATTAGACTAAAAAAGGCTTATTGGTTTCAAGTGTTAACCACGATAAAAGTGGTATTCTTTAAACGCAAAAATGTAATCACAAACCTTTAAAATGCCAGGATTTGTAAAAACTTCATTTAAAACTTGGAGGTCTTCCCTCAAAACAATAGTATCTACAATAAAGTCTTCTTCCCGCGTCGAAATCTGCATCAAGCAACAGAAACCCATGAAAGACCGGTACGAATGATGCTGCAAAATTAGAATAAACACATCAGTCATACAGGCAACGATGCAAAATCAAATATTAGAAAAATCTTCGAACTGACTGTCAATAGAAGCAAATTTCTCAAGTATTAACAGTACTGTAAGTATAAGTAAAGGAGAATAGTAATGGGATGGTAAACGAAACATGTCTTTACCTATAAACAAGGGTAGCACACGTGAACTAGCAATGGCAATAAACTTTCAAACTAGTAAAGAGTTATCCTGGGATCCCCAGGCTCATTTTTTATATAAAGAGGAGATTTTCGGTTCCAGCTTAATTCTTGATTTCTTCCGCTTTCTAATTTGTTATCAAATCTATATTCGCGTTGAACATACTTTTAACTGAACTTTTATAAAAAGGCGTTTTGACAGGTGACTCTTATGCTATTTTTAGTGGCGTTTGTTATAGAGGCCTCCCTCCTAGATGAAAATTTTCCTTAAAAATATTCGGCTGAAAAGCTTGCCTAACAACTGCTTAAGCTAAACTTCCTCCATTGATGCTCATCAAAAAAATGGAAACATTGAGTTCTTATGCTAAAGTTAGCATTGCTTCTTATGAGACCCGAAAGCAATACAAAAAACTGGACAGCAAAAACAAGTCGTTGTAATATTTTCTACATTGGTCAACATTACATTAAAAAACCGTAAACTAGAGCCAACAAAAAAAAGCTTCTATGAAAAAGAGTCTCACTGACAATGTTTTAAATTTATTGGCTCTTGAACAGTTAGTTAATTAGCTCTCAATAAAAAAATGTGAATATAAGACCAGCCTTGTTTTCAGCATTTTACTGTTTAATGACTTTTGAATATAATTCCTTTAAATTTGTTAGCTTAAGCATTAATAATAAATTCATAACAACCAATAATTATAGATAATCACTCTTTAGAAATTAATTCATATATCTCATCAGTTTATCTTAATAAATATTTATTGATTTCAACACATCTCTATGCAAAACCATGCACCCAACACTAGCAGTCATACTTAAAATACGATATGATTGAATAAATGCAATTTTCGTTTATCATCAATAAATCTGCAATTGCTTTGCCTATTGAGAGAGTTCCTCGTTTCAAGAAATTCCTTGCATACAAATCCCTTTATAATCATGACAACTTTATAATCTATTGTAACTAGTTAGTTTACTGAATTATTTTAATGGCATTTGTATGTAGTGGAATTTTAAAATGAAAATGAACTGAACCAATCGCCTTATACTTAAAAACTTGGCTTTGCAAAAATACACCTTTTAATAACGAATCGATAAAGGTATGGTTGAAAACTTTTGGTCTCTATTTGCAGGTTTTTATGTCATTACCGTCCGGTCACAACAGCAATGCCTATTCTCTTTCAATTCACAGTAATTGAATGGCGCTGGCAATACTAGTGTCTCTCGGGACAACGGCATTTGGTGATGCAGCAAGAAAGAAATGGCAATATTCGAAGAGCTATGTTTTATGACTGTAGCTATGTTTTAGGGTAAATTGCTTATTCGACCCCTGCTAGAGACATTCTTGATGCGAGACACTGTTGCATCACCACACAAACTAAAGGCTTGGCAAGTTGGCCATTCCATTCCAAAGAAATGAGAACTAACCTCCAAGTCGATTGCTACTTCTTTTACAGCTTTCAATTTCTCAAGCAGACCATTTAGCTTTTCGACGTCATCAATAACAGTCAACGATGTTTTTTCAATACCTTTGTAGGGCTTTGAAAACAAAAGAGGATAACAGCAAGTGAAAATATATGCCAAAAATTTAGGAAAAACACGCTAACAGGCATTAGACTATTCAATAAAGATATTGTTTAAATTTTCAATGCGCTAGCTGTAGAACAAATTAAAGGTTGATCCTAATAAGTTCAAGTACAGTAAGGCTTCATAAAATGTTCCTGCATAAACAAAAACTACGTACCTCTATTGCTCCTTTTTCTAACTGCCATGGCACAGGCTCAAAAGACTCTAGTTCAAATCTGTATGGATGTCTGAAGGCAAAGAAAGCAAAAAATAGCACGAAATGTATTGGCTTTTTTGAAGAGAAAAATGAAGACAAACCCTCCGTCCTCTGGACACGTGTGGCACCAATGTTACTCAACTTAAGGTGGCACGCATACACGCGTATAGGTGGTGGTGTTATGGTTAAGCAATTATCGCAAAAGACGGTGAGATGCTAAGTTAATGGAGAAACGGAGAAACGAGGAAATAGCCTTTTTGAAAACTACGAGTTACGACGTTGAAACCAAATATAAAAACGACGTTAAGTCACTTGTACAAATAGAGTTACAGGCCACTGTATATCTCAGGAGATTTATTTAACCTCTATAAAAAATTACCAGCGAAAATTCTAGTCCCGTTAGAGTTCTGCAAATCTTCTGCGAAATCGTTTAGACGCGATGTTGGCCAAAGTGTAAAGTTTTATTTAAAAAACGAACCTATCTTCAAACATGTCAAAATCCTCCCCAAGCCTCTGACTGTGAATGAAATCATCAACAGTAGACATCACCTTCGACTCTCGACCATCTTCTTCAAATCTTTGAGCTTGAAATAACCGAATACTCAAACACAAACTTCCTTTTACAAAAATGCTTTCAAGTGATGAATGATCATGACTTCAGGTAGCAAAAAGGTCAAACAATTTTATGGTGATTTTGTTATCACTATAGATTTTATGATGAATTCTGAGAATTCATCAGGAACTTCACAGCAAAAATCCAGATGAAACTTTCCACCTTCAATTGATAATCATATCATATCCATTGAAGAATTACGTCACCATAGAATTAATATCACAGGCACAAGCATCATTAAAATTTGCATGAAGATAGAAAGTCATGGTCCTTATAAAATTTGGTACAAAAATTTTCGGCGTATTTTGAAAACAAGGTCGTAAATTGATTTCGAGTATTGGCTAAAAAAGCAAGACATGACTACAAAGAAGAGGTTGGTTCGATGTACTTCTCTGCTCAGATAATCCTTGTTAAATGATCTTGATTGGAAGATTATTCTTGGTTTTTCATTAAGAATAAGGAAAAAAGGCAAGTTTTGATTGTAAAACACCTACACGGCCTCCATTCCTTTATTGCGTTTGGTTTCTGTTTGAGAATTGGGACAAAGGGAGCATTGCTGTTGTCAACTTTCCTTTTCCATTTTAGCTGCGGTCGCTCAATATTCCGGGCTGTTATTAGATTAAACTTCCTCCAGCGATCATGCTTCAGTTTTTTCTCGTTCTAATAAATAAAAAGAAAGGTTATTCAGTACGTTTTATTCAGAATTTGATTTATACGTTTTTAAGCTCCACATATGGAATCAACGTGATCCCTAACTCCAAATAAATCCCCGAAATTACAATAAACTTCTCAACAAGCTCGGTTTACGTAGGCGAAGATCCTCTAGCTTTTCACAATACATCTAGCTGATTCCTATTTTATTTTGATGAGAATCACATTCAGTAAGTTACTTTCTCAGTTACTTTCACGGTATTCCATCAATTATGGGTGACCCAATAGCTTACTAAAAAAATCTAAAGCAACTATACGTTATCAGACGCATGATTTGAAAATTTAATTTTACTTGATAGTAAGAAAAATATTGTTCTTAGAAAAGCTTGCAAACTTTGTAAATATGCTTTTTACTGCTTTCTTTCGGTTTATCTAAATTTCAAATGTAAAACAAAATTGAAAAATCAATTAAGAGAATCTGACATTAAAAATTTTTGTCTTGACCGAGAGATCTAGGAACAAAGCCCTTTTTATTTGCGAAAAATGACACACAATAAAATTTTTTTGTCCTTCGGTAGTTTTACCAAAATCCATATAACCAAATTCATCTGCTCTAACCCCGCCTAGTTCAAAACCGATCAAGACCAATTGCCTGTCGGAAGTCTCTCTTAAGGACTCTCCAACATCTTGAAATTATTTACGATAACTACATATGTTTCTGAAATTTTACTTGAAAACAAAATATAAACAGTAATTCAAAAGAAATTTGTTTAAAACTGCAAGATATAATTTGTAGAATCTTTAAAACGAAGATTACCATGAGGAATAGTATGCTATTAACTTTCTGGTCAGCATATTTTGTTCAATATACATGCAAGTAAATAAAAAGAATGCAAATATGTTTAATGCCTCATCTTTGTCGAAATAGTAATTTATGGCAACTTGTTGATTTAAAAGGTTTGGTTGTTATGATTTGGTAAGGAAAAAAAGCTTGCAGAAGTTCACTTACAGATCGCTTATTCCAGCTGGAGTCAATAGAAACATTAACTGGTGTTGTTGCTGATGGTAGAATCTTCTTTGAATTGCTGGGGTTGATGATTTCATCAAGCTGGGTGTCCTTAAATTGTACATGTTATAAATGAAAAACTATTTTGATCTAAAAAACAAAACTTTGACAGCAATGCTACTTTTGAAACAAAAATCAAAGGATTAACTATGAAAACAACATTTTTAAAATATTATTGGGGAAAATTCCAATATGATTCAATTGTAATTTAAACATAATATGTTCAAATCTGGTTTGATAACACTATATTGATTACACCCAAAAATTGAAAAAAAGGCCATTCAATATAAAAAATATTCAGTCCAAAAATAAGCTGTGACACATCCTTGGCAAGGGCAAGTTATCAAAGTTCGTCAACTTACAATTCTTTCCAAAAGAATATCATTAGCCTCAACAATGCTATCAAATCTATCATCAATATCATTGTGAGGATAATGTTTAGACACTGATTGGGACCATCTGCATTGGACTCCTTGGTGACGCAGAATATCTCCTATCCTAAGATGAAATTAATTGTTTATATAACAGTCTTTTTACATGGATAACTTTCATGGAAGCTAGATTCAGAGCAAAGACAAAGATTAAAAGAATCATTTTCACCCCAATTTTTACATCTTGACCAAAATAAAATAAACAAACCAAGTCTAAAAATATAAATGAACCTTCCAGGAAGTGACTACAAACATGAGGTTTACCAAAAAAGTTTTCTGGTCTATTATCTTGGAGAATTTAAAATTTCAAAGCTTCATTGAATTAACAGGATGCCAGCAATTTCAATGCTTTCTATTAAATGGATATCAAATCAAATGGTTTTTCACAGATCAAAAAGCACAAAATAAAGCTTAAAGTTCCAAAAATAATTGAAATAGTTGCTAATATATAGGTAACCTTAGGTACTAACTATTTGACTTACATTTTTAGCACACTTGTCCCTGTACTTGCACAAAAGTCTTGATACTGCTCAAAACCAGTCCAAAATTCATGATCATCATGAGATTTTATCATTTCATTTGATGCCTTGGTGCACATAACAAGATTTTTTAGCCATGTCTATGGAAGAAAACCTCTTCTTAGTGAAACAAGCTTCAGAAAAGACAGTAAAAATTAATAAATCAGTAATAGAGGAGTACTCAATGTATTCCGTGCTTTTAAATAAGTCTGGTATTAACAATGTTGAATTGCAAATTATTTCGAAGCAGATTCATGCCTGTACAGTTACAAAATGCTCCCTATATACGGAGATTTCCTTATTCTAACATTTGATATACAAGAAATGTATATAGACTATAATTGGAATTCAAATATCAAAAGGCAGGATTTACAATTCTGTGATGTTTGTAGCTATTGATATGAAATTGTGAATTTCTTGCAATTCGTAGCTTAGTTATTGTGTGTTTGAAAAATTGAAATTCAAGAATGTGAGCACCATGAAAAAGTGATACAAGTGATACAAGCTGATCAGCAGATTGAAGGAATTCAGGGCATTGTCTATTGGAACAAAGGAGGATTTTCCACCTTGGCATCGAAATTTTATTTTTCAGTTAAAGCCTAAATGTCATTATTTATACATTTGGGAAACCTTGGCTGTCTTTCTCAAAGTTACTGTCACTGCTGTCATTACTGCTTCATATACAACTTTTCCTCCCTACCTTCTTCAATATGTTCCTTTCTCTCACTTTCATTACAAATGTTGGATACTAGTGTCCCTTCCCTTGATTTCTCAACTTTCTTTCACCTTCCTCACTTTAAATATATATTTCAAAAGATTCCTTTATGGTGGAATCTTTTTCTACTTGACTCATTTGTGACAAACTCCAAAAAGATTATCAATTTTTGTTCAGTGTATCATGCTTCATTTACAACAACTAATGGTTGTGGCTAACATTCTTTAAATATATTAAATTTGATCATGAAATCAATACATAAATACTTGCTACTTTGCAACAGTTCAAAAATTCCTCAAAACAGCAAATCATGAAGGTTGTTCAGAGATCTTAGATTTTAATAGACTTTTTATAGCAGCTAAACACAAATATTTTGAAGCTTTTACATTTCCTGACCAACAAAAATTCACAAAAGATTTCCCATCCGAATCATGTACTTATAACTTATCAAAACGACCATTTAGCATCATCATGGCCCTTCCAAGCAACCTTATCTATGGGGTAATGTTTGAAAAAAGTCATTAATGACAAAACACCTTTAGATTCCTTGTTCAAAGAATTACTGAGCTAAAGAAACATTTAATAGTTCCAAATTGAGATCCTAGCAGAAATTTTAGACAACATGTCAATTTTTTGGAAAGATTTAGCATCATCATGGCCCTGCCAAGCAACTGTTTTGTGCTTCAAGGATTAAAGCTGGCTGCCTTTTTCTTGTAAACATGTGCAATTGACTGCTTGGTTTAGATGCACACTCGAGCAATATCACACATGTTAGACTGAAGGGCCTGTAATTGCTGCACATCAAACAGTAATGTGTTTTCCTTCCTTAAGTCAACAGCAGAAAATTGATTAAGAGCAGTTTAACAACTGAACAATTCTTTGTTCTTACTGTTAGTCAGAGGAAATAGCTGCCTTTCTTCAAATTAGATATCCCATTTCCATTTCTTTATCTGAAGAAAAGCTAAAAAGATTCATTTATAATAGATGATTATAGTGAAGTCAACATGAACAAATGAATATTTTGGTAACTCACCTGGGAAAATTCTTGTAATGATTCAAAACCAAAAATATCTTCTTTCTGCTCTGCCATGACACATACAAGAAATTACAGTGTCCAATTCTGTAAACAGAAATATTAGAACCAACTGACAAGTTTCCTTCATCTTAACTGAATGATACTTAACCCGGAACTACCTCGTAATCATATGCTAAATTAAAGGAGATAGGTCCTAAATAATCTAATATATGTATATATGGGCAACTCAAAGAAATAAGATCACATGCAAATTAACACTAAATATCTACTCCTTATCTATTACACAAAATTATGTGTGGGACTTTATCAAGGAATGTTTCTTTAAACATTCCTTAAAAGAACCAAACCACAAAATTTGGATATTCTTCATTTCTCATGCCTTATTTTTTGATATCCCTAAATTTACGATTTCTTAATTTTTGCATGTTTATACAGTGAATATAGAAAAAAGAATCAAGACAAAAACAGTATTTTTAATGTAAGGATGCGTAATGGGCTAAAATTGAGGCTAATGTCATTCAAAATGTGACATTTCTCTAAGAAAGCATCTGTAGATCATTTCTCAAAACAAAAATTAAGTGAAAAAATTCCTTAATTAATGTAAGTGAAAGCGCATTTGAGAGGAAAGATTTCCTTTATTAATGTCATTGACACTCAATTTCTTTGAAAAAAATCCTTAAATCAATTTTCCCCTAATTTCCAATTCCTTACTTTGGTTGCACCCCTAATTTCGTCTAATAAGGTATCTTCCAAGATTCATAAGATTAGATATACAAATCTTTTCAAATCTCAAAGGCTGTAAGAAGAACATACTATCTAGATCCAAAAACTTGAAAGTATCTTACTAAGTAATACCTATTAGGCTAATATCTTATTAAACCTAATAATTACCAAATCATATCTGATCGATATCAGATCCTGAAAAAAATTGAATAGCCTATTTATACACAGATCACATTCAACAAAATCAGTATTCTAACACAAGCAGTAATCTTGCCTCTATTTGCATTGAATAAAATAGAAAACAATCATTTTTTCAATAAAGCTTCAATGAAAAACTCGGGAATTGCGTATAGACTGGTGCTTTATTTGCAAAAGAAAAGACGACTTTTATTAAGAAAGACCCTACTAAATCATATAAAATTCGATCGATAAATGCTGTCAATTCCTCACCATTTATGAAGTTGTGAACTTGATTCACGTGCAATCTTCCCTTCACAAAGTAAAGATCTGTAGGCCATTTTGACTCGGTTTCAAGTCGAGGTCCAACATTCAGACGTTCTTCGATCGAAGGTTTACTCATAGATATACTACTGTAAAATTTGAAGCTGCTATAGATAAAAACATTGTATTGGTATTGTCCAATTCGAGCCATTGAAAAATGCAGCGAAGAAACTCAATTTATGAAGCATTCCTGGAACCTTTTTAACTCTCTCCTAACTCAAGACTTTAAATGATAGCGTTAACATCCTATAATTTAAAAGCACGCCATTTTAGTCATCAAATTAATTACGTAAGTATGTATTTAACTTTTAGATTTAGCAGGTTCTGACTTTGGCTGAGTTGTACCTTGAGTGAAGAATTTTTAAAAACTTACAATAAAAGGCCTACGTATTTAGATCAAACTGATTACTTGGCAAGGATGGACCGGGCTAAAGAAGAAATTTGAGTTCTTAAGAGAGAAGTAATAGTTTGATAACAAACTATAACCCAGGGATCGCGGAAGCGGGGGAGGCTGAGGGGGCTTTACCCCCCACAACAATTTTCAAAATGTACTTAAAGACATACAAATAATTGTATTGCTTTTTATTTTTGGCATGCTTAGCCTCCCCCTCCGCCCAAAGAAAATTTTTTTAGCCCCCTCAACCTGTATTATGCCCTGTAGTCCTTGCTTTGACCAGTCGTCTTCGTGAAGACCATTTGTATATTTAAGATACTCAAATAATTACTTCCATTAGCTGCTACAATTCATAAAAAATTGTTCATAAAAAATTGATTACCCAACCAGTTTCCATTGAGGCAGGTAGCGACCTTACGTTTTCACAGAGAATGGAAAAGATCTGAAGAATTTTGATGACTTTGTTTAAGGATAGCCGTCTATTTCATTGAGATGTACGTTATCAATTTTTGAAAACGTTCATATGCAGCTTCGACAGATCTTTCCGATTAAGTCTTTCAAAGCATTTTTGAATTATCTAAAAGACCCATGATTTTAAGCATGTATGATTTGAAATTACGTAAACTGTGGAAAGTACAAGGCCCAGAAAGAGATCCTTGCGGAGCACCAATGCCAACTTTTGTCTTGAGAGAAATCTTCTCCATTTACATATGTGAATTTTTTCTTTTGATATAGCTAATAAGCCAGTCGAGTCTTCTTCTGAGACCATACACAAACTGGAACTATACGTAATATAAGAAATTATGTTTACACAGATAAGATATGACTTGTGTTGCTGAAGTCTTTTAGAATCTTTGAAAACAGGATTCCAAATCTTAAGCATCATCTCTGCCCTGAAAGGGGCGTTCATTATGCATGGCAGTGATTGCACTATGTGACTTCAAGATGATTTATGGCACCAGTTCGAATATAGGTTAAAACTGGCGTTTTCTTAATCATGTGAGAATTCATCACTTTTGAAACTCCCATTTTACAGTGTCAGCCAGATAGGTCTCTAATTTACTTGAATTTGTAGAGCTTGGTTCTGCCTTGCTTATGGACTAGTTGCCAAGGTATGAATCTAGGTCATTCGCAATGTCCAAAATGTTTTCATGAAATTCTTTTTTACATCAAAGGTCTTTATATTCAAAGTTAAAAATTTTTCTTTTAAGGACCACTTCTTTGATATATGCGTTCACTTTGTGTCAAATATGTCGTTAAATTACTTGGATTTACTTGCGAATTACACTTATTTTTTCTCATTTCATTGTAAATATCAAAAACAGTTGATTTGCTCCAATAATCGGTTATTCAAACTGAAACTCACCGATACAGCCAGCGTCATCTAGCAAAGTAAATGGATGAACCAAAGCAAATGATCTTTAAGAAGTCTCCTTAATCAAACAAATACAGAACCATACCGGCGTTTAAGAGCAAATAAATTTTTAAGGAAAAATAGGTATGCATTACCAACCTCAATTATATACATAAACAAGTAGAGCATTTTCCCGCCAACTTAGAAAACATATTCAGATAAACACATTATTTCCCAGCTCGCTCAAAATCACTGTTTTTTTTTCAAACACACTCTTGCAGCTAGCTGATTCTAGTTTACTTGTGTTATTGTTAAAGTATCGTTCATGTTATTGCTTTGATTATTTTCTATAAGCTTAAGCTGATTGGTTTGATCATTTTTGTAGTCCAGTCTCGATAAGCTATTCTTCTACTGGATCGCGTTCAATACAGTATTTTCCGTGGTTAAACTATTCTACAAATTAATTAACTGTTTGGATTTGGTTGATTGATTTTAATGATTGGTTGATTGATTTTAATGAATGGTTGACTGATTAATTGATTGGTTGCAATGATTGATTAGACGTTCTATGCTTTAAAAAATGAAACCAGATCCGAAGTAACAACACTTACGCTGGAGCTTACTACAATATAGGCCTGACTGAGAAAACGTAGGTCTACCTTTGCTAGTTTACACAGTTCCTGAGAAGGAAGAAAACTCAATTTCATTGCAGTATCGTTAGAAATGGGTTCCGGGAAACATTTGAATGCTATTGCACATGCATGCAACCGGAAAATCTGTGATACATTGTGTTTTCGAAGGCCGACAGACCTTTAACTTGCTATTTTTCAATAAAAAGGCGAGGTCGTGGGTAACAACTGTACTCTGCCATCTGAAGGTTAAAAGGTTGTGTAAAATAGACGATAAATCTAAAAATTTAAGAGGGCGTCGAAAAATCTCTCGATCTAAATAGCCGAATCGAGTCAGCTAGGAGTCTTTCTAATCTTGCGAAATTTCGGATCGTTCGAAAAGCCATCTGGTAGAATATTGACACCTGCCCAATCCGAAGTAAGTCACACAACAAACCCATCATGTGATAGCTACAGGTTGTGCTGTATACCTGGCCTTGGCGAAAGTTGCACACATAAGAAAAATAACAATAATGCTCAGTTAATTGTTTGAAGTTAATTAATTCTGCATTACTAACAAATATACAAGTAAATCAGATACTGATTCATATTTTCAATGAATTGCTACAAAGATGCTCAACTAAAGGTCAAAGAGGTGCAGATCAAAACAAGCATATATTTAGATGCAAAGATAGGGCTAGTTTTTCTTAAGATTGCTGTGGATTGAACGATTCAAAGATTACTAAGGAGAGAAACTTTGTTAACTAATAGCGTTTTCATCGATTACGAGGATTGATGACTTATACAATACTAAAGTTTGCGCTAACTGCAGTAAAACGCTAAATAACAGACAACAGCAAATAAAAGAACCCTTTAGATTAAGGACCACTTCACATAAAAGCAAAAAAAATTTATAGAAAAATTTTTTCATAGGTAGGAGATGCCTTATAGAAAAACATGCAGCTAACGCCCATTTCATTATGTTGGATATAACTCTAGCCCACAGGCGGCCTCACTGCATTAGACATTTTTTATGAGAAAGTCAATGGATTTAAAAGGAAAAAACAGTTGACAGCGTACCAAGACCTGTCCAATGAATAGAAAACATAGGCTTGTCCTGGATTGAAGAAGTCAGATGGCAGGAAAAGCTGTGCTAATAACGCGAGGGGTGCTACAATCTCGTATTTATTAACAAATGCAAGTTTTTTAGAATTTAATAAAATTTCACGAACTGTTGCTAAATGCAATACAATTCCGAATCGTAGATAATTACCTGAAAAAACACGATCATTTCAAATTTTTTAAAGAATAAAATGGAAAACTAATCTTTTTAATAATGAGTTCCTGGGCTACAAAGTCTATCATTGATATCATATTCATTCTTCAAGGAGTTAGTGGCAGCATCATAATAAAGTTTAACTTGTTGTATAAAAGAAGAAAAAACATAAATTTGTACGTACACAAAAACGAAACTACGAAAATTATCACTTCCAAACTTTGACAACACCATCTTTAGAGCCACTGATCAAAAAGTTTTGCGGTACCCTTGTCATTGAAATATCAGTAATACAATCGTTGTGTCCAACCGGTGTGTCGTCCGGTCCCTTTCTAGGAGATTCCTCATTCAGGTGCTTTCTTTCACAAGTTTCAAAGATGACTTCGGTTCCGTCAATAGGGCGATTCCTGTCAAAAAAGAGACCGATAAACTATTTGGTAACCTGTTTCAGAAACAGCAGGGTTTGATTGGCTGAAAGAGGCTGACGGGGGCTCTGATTCGTTAATAAAAGCTAATCACTCAATGGTTATTAATCTAAGCCCATAAATGATATAATCGATCAAATCTGACTGTATCATACAAGGATAAAAATCAATCTATATCGGTTGTAAACAGACAAAAAAATGCAACTCTCCAAATTACGTGCATCACGGCATATAATCTTACAAATTCATGACTAGGAAGATATATCGTAGAGGAATTAATAAAGAAAATCATCGCAAACAATCTTACAACTTCATGACTAGGAGGATATCAAATTAAAAAGAAAAGGAAGAAAATAAAAAAGAAAAAAGGATTTCGATCCAAAAGCCGCCTAAATATCCCAGCGTGTCTGAAAGGAAGAACGGGACACCTTGACAAAAAAAACAGAAGACGCGGGAGGCTTTTTCAAAGAATTTTTTTCCGATTGCAATCAGCTTATTCTCGGTTACGAGATTGTCTGTAAGAGAAAACGCTGGCAATCACTTAAACATCACAGTATACTCAAAAGCATATTAGCAAAGATTTGACATTACATCCTCGTCGGCAAGATGATCTGTACAGGACTACCGATCATGCAATGATAAAGCTAGACCGCGAATTCTGCTTTATGTCAATTCATTGCGATGCTTATACACGTTTCATCTCTAACTATAGTTCTCATGTATGAAATGCATATCTGCCTAACGACTATATATCGTCTCTGCATTTTGTCATCCTTCTGACGGTTTAGGTACATTTTACATTCAACCAACATCGTTTAGCAGAGGAGAAAAAAGACACTTTAATACGACAATGACAAAGAGAATTGACGTTATTATTCCAAGACTTAAATCATTAACGCTTTAGATCTACGTCATTGTGTACTTTGTCCCTTGATTTTAGGACAAAGCGTACAAGCAATTTAAAACCATTACGCATAAAATGAAGACAGGTGGTTGAGAATTCTATTTTCTGTTTATCACATCCTAATGGAAAGGACCTTTTGCGAATCCTAAAGACAAACTAGCTAGTGGTGCTAGTATCTCTCAGATTAGACTGATCGCATAAGTATTTTAAACTCGCTTTACTGTGTCAATGAATCTTCGATAATGATAATGATTATGACAATTGTAATTATAAGGATGATGATGATGTTCATTAATTATGATTATTATTACCATTGATAGTATTGATGTTCAGAGACAAGATCTTCAGTCTCTTGTACGATGTTCAGAGATGGGATCGTTGCGAGAGTATCAACGCAATATTGCTTGCGAATGGGCTGTCAAGCCCTTATAACCTAGCTCTAATTCAAGCTATTTTGTATGGAGATGAAAAGCTACCAAATGTTATTAACAATGAAATTATGAAGGCTACGCTAAAAACATCCACACATCGCACCGTTTTTGATAACTTACTAATGTCCTACACCTTTCCAGAATTATTTTTAACTTGTTTGAAATTTTCATATCCTTGTGTTTTATTTGTAACTAAAGTCTGTACCAAAATTGAAATAGGCGACGCATAACAAAAATTAGAGCTTTTCCTGCAGACCACAACATCGTAACCCTCAACCTCCATCATTCTTAACTTATTTTTTGGAGAGACTCCAGAGAATGTAAGTTAACTGTTAATGGTTTGTTAAGAGGGTTGAAATGGACTTCAATGCTCCCCGTGGTATCATTTTTACACTACTTCTATAGTGAATTGGTATGAGCATTAATACATCGAAAATAGCATTGGTGGCTATTTATCGACGATGGTGATTTTGGTGATGATGAATTTTGGGAGGAATTGTACACATAATTTGAAATGTTCTCCTCTCCATCTACACTGACGGCACTTACGTGTAATTCAATGCAACATGATCTAGGTTGTCTGTAGCTGCACCAGCAACTAGGGAGGATTTCTCCGGATGTCTGATATCCCACAAGCGAATTCTTCTGTCGAGGCCTCCAGTAATGAAATATGTTCTGTTCTCTTGATCTGGCGCATGAATTGCAAGGATAGCGTCATTCGATACCTTTAAAAAAGGCAAGAAGGCCAATGGAATTTAAAAAATGGCTCAATGTTGACAGAGTTGGCTTCAATACCAAGAATTTTATAAATACATTGCTGACATCAAAGCGTTGGAAAGATATGGAAATGAATATCCTGGGATGTAATAGCATTGCTTAGATGTTATAATACGGTACAAATTTTTAACAAAGAAACTTGTCTTGCAGCTACTTAACACGCAAGAAGAGTCTAAACAAATAACATTAAAGGAAGCTTCTTCATTTAAACTTGTGAGCCTATGGCATCCTGTGAGAATGTGTAACCTTGGTAAACAATACATACCTGAGATTGGGAAAGTGGGGGGTACGGGCTGGCCCAAAGGGTTTGCTGTCTAGCACCGGTTTCAAGGTCCCACATGGAAACCTCGTTGTTTCCTTGGTATGAAGCCACAATCCAAGACTGTTCTATCGGATGGCTTGTTACTTTACGAACTTGCGCCTCTGAAAGACATTATGCACTTAGCATAAAACTAAATAATTAAAATTCGAATGAAATATTAAATCACTGACTGCTTAAATCTGAACTTGCATGTGCGAGATATGCATTGAGAGCAACAAATACTTTCTCCTGTATTTTCTTTAGTTTGATTTTATGTGCAGGGATCGTATTTGCCAGCTCGCTTCTTTGAGCATAGACATAAACTGTGCAGTTTGTTACTGTTTAGGGACTATGACCTGCACGTAGTTGTAAACAAAACAAAAACTTAATTACTTGAAGCAATGAAGCCTTTCGATCAAATGGTTAGAAAGTAAACAACATCTACCAACACCCAAGGTCTGTTTTAGTATTTTATCAGGGTGACAAGACACAAAATTGTAGGATACACGCTTTGGATTTCAACTTATAGAATAGAAGAACTTGTTGTTTTGGTATTAAGCCACATTGAATTTTCGCATTGTCTTGTTAAAGAGAAAATAGCTGCAGTAGTATAGTGAGAGAGAAGCAAGAGGTAGCGGAATCTTATTACAGCTCTTAGTGTCAGCTGTTAATAACTGAATTCCCTGCCAGTGGATCAAAATATTCCTACGTTCAAAATATATATGCTTCGCTCTTTCGTCGATTCACAGAAAACTATACCTATTCATATCATGTTTACTTGCCCTTATTCAACCTGATCTCTTTCAGCTGATAAATAAAATATGCTACAGTCATGAAAAGCAACACAGATTAAATACTTAGAAAAGTAAATCAATTTCTTCTATAGAGGTAAACATAATGATCAAGTGGAAGGAGAGTTAAATTTTGCTTTGAGGAGCAGAATTAAAAATAATAGAAAAAAATTCGACCTACTTCTTGAATGTTGAATGGTAGTGATTGGTAACTGGAATCTCATGTCCCAACACACGATGGTACCTTCACTTGTGCCACAACCGAGCCAACATTGAAAAGGGTCTACTGCGAAAGACGTGATCAATCCTAGAAATGGAGAACGAGAGCCCAGAAATAAGTATCACTTTACTTCCATAGGCTAATACATAGATGGTGAAATAAATATTTGGAGGCCTGTTCCTGAAGTTATTCTTAAATACTCTTAAGCAACCAGATATGTAAATTTAGTAATCTTTGCAACTGTTTTTTTAATTACAAAACACTTTAGGAAATAAAACATATAAGCACAACAAAAGCTGGTTGAGTCTACCTTAACCATTTCCATGAAACTCGCGCTTGTCTCTGGTTCAAAGTCGCGACTGCTCAAAAAGGCAGATCGATAAATAGTTAAGTTTCCAATGAAATCGAGCTTAGATATTATTCTTAATTTATTTTTTCAATTTCAAAAATTTCGCGCTTCAGAATTCTTCAAAAAAAATTATTCTCTTAAACAAAGTTTGTAGTTTTCAAAATTATGTGACATAACAAAGACCCTTGTTTTTGTCTTGGAACTTAACACAGACCAACTGCCAACAATCTTTTTAAAAAGTTTTGACTTGGCAGATAGGTCATTAATGATCGAAAAATACGTACCATGATGTAGGTCATTTTTAAATTTCCAAGCACATTTATCAGCTGGTTGGCGTAAATCCCAGCCACAGATGTAGCCATAAACAGTTGCGTAACATATGGTACTTTGTGAGCCTGTGAATGCAATTATCACATTTGAAGCACATTGTACTAATGTCATGACGATTTTAAATAACTTGCTTTTAAGGCACTGTTAAGATGAGGGATTAGCAGTGGACATACTTTGATTATGCATTGCAATATCAATAACTTCATAACAGAATAGAAAACATCTGCAATGAAGGTGTTATCGATTCGATGTACATTCGAATACATTTTGTTGTAAACAAAGTTGATATCAGCTGTTCGATTCCGAAAACATGACCATTACACGTGCAAATTCTTCCAAAATAACTGTACACATGCTTCACTGTATGAATCTCAGTTATTTAATTTGTCCCCTACCCCCTTAGTTAAAACTAAACTCCACACCAATGATCATGATAAAACTAAAATCAGAATAAAACAGCTTGTTATGACATATTTTAAAGTAATATTCCATTAGATAAGAAACTCCACAACTTCCAAAATATCTATTTGAAAAATGAAGCAAGGTAAATTTTTCCAAAAAACATTGTAAATCTTTACGTAAAGCTTCCAAAGAAAAACACATGAAACGGGTAGACGTTTTCGTTCTACGGTGCTAAACTTTGGAATAGTCTAGATACTAAAGCTACGCAGGCAGTCTCTATGATTCAATTCAGAACTTTTCTTTAGAAATTTATTCAAATAGATTCAAAATCAGCCAATACTAAGGTTTCAGTTTAAAATGTTCTCCCTGGACAAAACCTCTGACAGCTTATGTTGCGACTGTACAACACTGCTTATTGAACTGAACCGAATCATGAGTGAAAGATAAACAAGGATACACACTTTTAAATCTATGTGGATGACATTTTTAGAGGCGCGTTGAATGTCTGAAAGAATTCTGAACCAGTATAGAAGCTAAGGCTTCCGAGCAATCTTGCCGATCTCTCTGTACAATGGGCTATTGTCTAGAGAATTACTTCAAATTGTGGATTTATTCAAAATTTGTAAGCTTTGTGAAGATTCGAGATGATTTTTTATAACATTTATAACATATCATTTAGAACAAGTCTATATTGACTGTCAATATGTCTTGATAGAAGTACCTCAAAGACTTGTTCTAGGCCCTATTCTCTTCAATTTTTATACCAAACATCTTATTTCATTAAAGATGCTCCTATACAGAACGACGCTAACGACGATCTATCATCATATTCTAAACAAACTATTCCTGGCCTATAAGGGACTTTGCACGTGAAGTAAACATGTGGCTAGAGCAAAACAAAATGATAGCCAGTCATGAAAACATCCAAGCACTTCTTGTAAAGAAAGATTAAACGATCACCTCAGGACAGAGAATTGATATTTGGGGTCAGAGACCCAATAAGGGTTTAACGTAAAATAAATAGAGGTTCAGAAGGATAATCAACTAAACGTGGATGGAAAAATTTCTTATCTTTGCAGGAAAACACCTGCATAGCTGAATGCACTAAAAACACCAGTTACACATAAGCCTCAGTATAGTTCTCCTTCAACTTAATCCAATATTAAAATAAAGTAAATGTAAAGAAAGGTCTTAGAATTGCTGTCCTGAGATGAAAGCCATCGATTAAATCATGACGAGAAGCAAAGTGCGTGTAAGCCGTTTAAGAGATATTTTAGAGAAGAAAAAAATCTTGATCCTATATTCAAGAACGAGCTTTTGGGTCACATTTGAATAAGACCTTTTAGAAGAATGAATGATTAATTTCATTATACATAAAATCAAGCTGGATTCGGATCCAACAGTACGAGGACACTTGGTTCAGATGAAAAACACAGATGAACTTCATAGCTACATTACGTGGGATGAGAGATTAATACTGTAAGTTGAAATAGGGATTAAGGTTGAAATCACGCAGTGGAACTGGGCCAAACGTAAATGCAATAAGTGTACATACACCGCACCACAGTCAAATGCGTAGAAAACAGTATGCTGCAGATATTTTAAAGTCTTGTCTTAATCAATGAAAGGGGGATTTTAAGCCAGTTTCTTACCTGTGTCGAAATGATTCAAATCAACCGCCAAACCCTCTTCTGCAACGTCAAGTTTCTTCTCCACAACTAGCGGAAGCCGAGATGGGTTGCTCTCAATTCTTTAAAGCAAAAATCATAATATATTCATGAAAAAATAAAGTAGTTTATGGGTGAAACAAATGATTCTAATACACATCGAGAGCCGAGAAAAGAAAACTGGCAAAATAATTACTCTCACCGCCCTTAGTAGGCAGGGGTATTTTAATACCTCTGTTTGCAATGGGCTTATCTGGTGAAATTCAATTATAGACATTTCCCAAACTACATATTTCAGCTAGAAATATCTAAAAACAAAAAGCCCTGACGTTTTTGGTGGGTGACAAAAAACTTTGATTGTTGATAAATTTTTACTAATCGATGATCAATACTTTTTCCAATACCGTTCCAATGCCTCATGTAACAACGTGAAAACAGAAGCAATTTAAAATTTCACTGTACCTTAGAACGTGAATCGATCCATTATCAGAAGAGCAGGCCAATGTGTGCGAGTTCTGACAAAACGTCAGGCAATTTATTTTACCGACTATGAAAAAACAATTGAAAATCTGATAGCAATTTGCACCGAGATCAAGAGGCAAAATTTACATTTAAAATATTTCAGATTTCAATGTTACAATAACCAATTATTGATAAGGTAAGAAATTCGAGAGTTTCAGCTTTAAGCAGGCATAAAACAAACATGTCTTGTTAGCAACCAATTTCAAATTTTACAAAAATGTTACAAGAAAAAGGAAGCAAATATGACATGCAAGGGAATGAAACAAACAAATTCAAAAAATTTATAATGAGGTTAGTTAACACTGCTGAGTGCTGATACACTCAGTGGCTTGAATAAGATAATGTCAAGTCTAAAGTTCTAGAAACTTCGCTGGCAGGTGCTCTTTTCTTAAAGGTGGTAGATCTTTTCTTAAAGGTGGTAGATCTCAGTTGTGTATTTGTAGTGTATTTATATTGTATCATGCAAAGTTCTGGAATATTTGTACGAGTTGGGTGTGGAGGCAACTCGATAACGTTATGTTTTTTGCCTCCATCTCAACAATGATCTACTTGAGTTTTTTTGTATTTGTTCTTATTGTGATAAAAAAAATCTCACTACAAACGGCAAAACCTAAGGACCTGGAAAGATCGTTCTTTCTACTTTGAAAAAAGCTGGAAGGAAAGAACATGGCCGCCAAAAGTAGCTGGAACACTGTAATTGTCCTTGTAATAAATGCATATCTTCTCCCTTTTTTTCAATTTCCAGTGGGCTGATCCTCCTTCCTTACTTGAAAAATGTTGGAAGGAAGGTGAACATTTTACTAAACATCTGATACACTCTTCCTGCTCGCACATTCATTTGTCGTCATTTTCTAGTAGTTCGGCGGGTATTGCTGTATGAAATGTATTGAAAAATGAACGTCATTTTCTCCTTTACTCAGAACTATATCTACCTAATCTACTGTATGTCAACTTCGATCGCATCGTCGCAGATTTCCCATCTAGTCTTTGGGTGTCCCATACTTTAACAGTGGCATCATTTGAAGCTGTCGCAAAGAAGGCACAATCACCAGAGACCACGATCCTGAAAGACAATTTTATAGTAAAACATCACTGGCATAACTAACAGGGGGGGGGGGGGTCTTACAACCCAAAGCTATTGTTTTTATGTTTGAAGGAAAGACTTCGGAGCAATGAAAACCGCTTGAGGTTGCTAACTAAAGGACAATCTTAAGCGATGAAATATAACTATCATAACAAATAACGAAGGTATAAATTAATAATATTTCCCATTGAAAGCTGTTTTTAAACTGTTTTCCTTGCTTTGTTTTGTTGGAAAAAGCAAGGGGACTGCTGTATTTCCAAGCAATAAGAAAAGCAGTTTTCAAGACAAAACTACAACAAATTTTTAATAATTGATATTACAACACCACATAGTATTTAATTTCTTAGCAAGGAAAGGAAATGAGATATGGTCCCCTTTTAACCGATTGCTTATAAAAACGACGTGTAATGCTTTATTTCAGTTCTGACAAAGTTCTTTTTGAGAGAGCCAATGATCTTAAAACCCATAATCAGATAATGAAAGCACAATTCTTTATTATGTTATTCACTTGCGCTATTGCAAGCAAATTCCTCATTATGTTATTTACTAGGATCTACTGTTAAACATAGGAGTTTCTTATCACCACGTGCACCACGTATAAAACAGTATTGTGCGATAAAATGTATTAAACGAAACAGCGTCCTCTCAATTTTGTGACGCAAAAGTTAAAAGAGAAATTGTTAGGGAAAAGAGCAATATATTTTTCCAATTTCATTACACCAATGTAGGTTTTAAATGTTTTGCAGTGAATATATATATCTGCACAGCATAAAACAGTAAATTCTAAAGAGTTTTGACAATTTTTCAAATCAACTGCATTCCTATGAAAATACATTTGCTTTCAAAGAACACCAAAGCAAAAAATACTATGTAAGGTGATACGAAGTGTGTTTGTTTAATCAAATAAACAAATAAACTCACTTATTAATAGATGATTTGTGTTCGTGTAGATGTGCCACTAGCTGTCCTTTTGGCCGCCAACTGAAAATGAAAATCATTTGTTCATTCGGTAACCTTTGATATAGCTTAATGGATTCAAGTACAAGCAGCTTAAAGTTCTGGGCAGGGAATGGACAAGAAAAGTTCACTTTCCCCACCATAGAGCCGATGCACCAGTCCTACCTTAGATACCTAAGATATGAGAGGGGAAGAGAAAAAAAGACTGAATTAAGAGCCTAATATCTTTCCTAAACGAAAAATAATAAGAACTTTGAAATGAATACCGTGATGTAAACATGCCCTAGCCTAATGCAGTAGAATAAATAAGGATTCGAAGAAACACACTACGCTTAATACCAAAAGGGGAGGGTGTAACTAGAGAAGAGAACAGCATGGAAACAAAATACGAAGTAAGCACGATAATCCCGACCCAAAGCAATTAAATACACCCATCTGAGTCAAGGGACCCACATTTTCATGAAGAAGCCCAAACTACAGAACTCCTTCTTCTCTAATGAAGCGCATAAGAACTCAAATACCAAACTGAAGCATGACAAATGACACCCAAGTGAGAATAATATAAATTAGCTGAAATAAGAACCCCTAGCGAAATCAAAGTCTACAACATCCCTCGTGAAATCAACTCTGATAAAATTTCATTTGATTAGCATTTTACTTTCGCATCTATTTACTTTCGAAGCTTCAAACAAATATATTATCACTGAAGTTTCACATCACTGACAAATAAAAATGTTATAATTAAGGAAGATATTTTATACGCTGAAGATCTTTACCAAACTACATACCTTGTTTGCCGTCCTCTATTTTCAATTAACGAGGATACTAATGAGTTCGCTTTCACATCTGCAAAGAAATAACACAGTGATCTCTGCAATAATAACGATTATATAACTTGTTCGCAGAAAGCAAGACTAGAATCGGAAACATAAAATGCAAAGCTGGGGAATGGAGCGAGAGGAATACTGCCGCACGCCGAGTGTCAGAATATCCAGGCATTGGTACTTTTTTAACAGCAAATGCAAAAAAAAGGGAATATACGGGTAAAATATGACGCTATTCTTATTTTTTTCTGTATTTGTACTTGTTACTATTTAAAATGCCTGCCAAAAGTCTTGGAACACTGACATCAATTTTCAAGGTCAAAATCAATCATCCCCCTCTCCCCTACAGAACAATGTTGGTTTACTATCAAACGGGTTAGGATTTTAGGAAGCACTTTCTTTTGCACTTCTTTTATGATATTTCTCTAAATCATCAACATTGTTTTAGGGGGAAGGGGGCGGAAGTAGCAAATTTTTTTCATGAAAGGAATGAAAGATATCAAATGCTGCGTAAATGGCTGGGTGTTCCAAGTACTTTTGGCAGGCATTGTAGCTTCCAAAGGAAATTTCAGGACACTGAGAAGCTTTGCTTATCGAGCAGTATCTTATGACTAGAATCACTGAGAGCTAATTTGGACTCGAACTCTAGGCCCTTGGATTTGTGTCAGCGACCCCAACCATTGAGATATCCTCACAAATGTGATGTTTTTACTATGAAATATGTAGCTAGAAGGGGAATCTTTATTGAATCTGGCCTTTTGATAGGACCGAATTTCGATTCTAAACAATCTTGTTAATCAGTACCCACAGCAGAAAATGCTCCATTCTATTGAAGAGGACAAGGGAAATAAAATTATAGCCAAAACAGGTGTGTTGATAACAGATGAATTACGTTAGGTAAGTCACTTATCGGACGAATTACACCCGAGTAGTTGACAGGAAAAATTACAGTGGATAAGTCGCTAGCAGGAAGAATTACACTAGATGGTTGTTAACAGGGCAAATCACATCGTACGATGTGCTAACAGAACAAATCATACCAAATGATTTGCTAGCAGGACGAATTACGCTGGATAAGTCGCTAATTGGTGAATTACATTGGACAAGTTGCTAGCGAGAAAAATTACACTAGATGAGGTGCTAACAGGACAAATTACAGCGGACGACTTGCTTACAAGACGATACGTCGCTAATTGGGTGAATTACATTGGACAAGTTGCTAAGGAGAAGAATTTAACTTGAAGATTTGCTTAAAGGACGAATTATACTGAACTAGTTGCTGACAGGTCAAATAACACCAAACGACTCGCTCACAGAACGAATTACAGTAACAGGACAAACCATGCCGGAAGAGTTGCTATAAGTACACTGGATAAGCGCAAATTAAACTGGCAAAGAAGCTACAGCCGACAAGTTGCCATAGGACTAAACGTGTTCCTAATACATTAAGCAACAGTAGGCAAGTTGAAAACAGAAGAAAGACGGTGAACAGTGAAAGCTTATTTGCTTCTAGAGCAAAGTAATAGTAAAGCCACTGTCTTTGGTAGAATGATCACTAAAGGTAAAGCACTGCTGGACAAAGCAGCTGAGCCTTTGATTTAAAGGCAATCTGTCTCGTTATGGATTGGTTAACGAGAACAATAGCTGGAACAATAGCCTAAACACGATTCCAGCGCTCCGCCATATTTTTTACAATGCGATAAATTAAAGGGGGACTGGAAACAATAAAAATCCCTTTGTTCTTATAACCAATCAACGTCGTGACAGATTGCCTTTAAACATCAAGAAAAACATCAAGGTTAAACGCATGGTGGGCAGCATGAATAAAAAACATCTCCCAATTCTTATTCATAAACATTCCCTCCTCCATTCCATTCAGAATGCCTATGCATTCTAATGGATTTGGGATGTTTATTTAAATGTCAACGATGAAAATCTATCACAATATCTGATGATGTTTGCCATATTGGACAGCGTTTGCAAAAGCGGTTAAAACTTTAGCATTATTTTCAATTTATTGTTTACAAGCTATTGCTAGAAAAACGTTATACCTCGTCTGTACTCTGCTCTCTTTTGTACAGCCAAATTATGAAGATCTAGTTTACACTTGGCAAATTTAGGCTGATCAGTCATAGTTTGCTGCTGCGGTGGCTTTTGTGATTGACCCTGCGCAGGACTTTGCTGCTTTTCCAGTGGCTGTTGTGGGTTTTTTGTTGCTGTTTTGACCTGTGATGAATCTTGGGTGCCCTGCAGCTTTGGAGCTTTCAAATCTAACTGTTAACAGTATGAGAAAACACTGTAAGCATCACAAAAATAGAAGCGAATAAGCCTCATCTTAAACATAATCTACCAACCTTCGATTAATAAACCACCATCTTTAAATTATGACGAAAGCCTTGGAAACAAGAGTTTAAGAAATTCTAATTGGCTGGAAGTGTCACGGAATCCACACACGTTCGTGAAATCTACTATGTTGCTTATGTCTGACTTTAAAGTTATGGAGAGTCTCACAAACACCACAATTTTATATTGCCTGTTTCGCTATACATCTACGACATACTCGCCCAATACCAACTTATGTTCATCTAACAGCTTGCTTCGATTAACGTTTGTGCAGGTCATCAAAACACCAAAATCGAAAAATCCATAATAGAAAATCGTGTTTTATGTCAAATCAGCGAGTGGCAGATAATTGCAGCATTTTACTATGCAACACTAACAGCGCGACAAACATCCTGAAGCAAATAGCTGAAACAAAATTAGTATCTTTGAGATGCTAGAAATTCTTGCAACATCACGCAAATTATTCAGTAGGTACTTAGCATAAGTAGAGGAAAAGGCAAAAAATTTGTATGCACTGTGAATAGAGTGAGAGTTTTATCAAACAAAGAGGTGTACTCAAAATAAAAGATTTAGCTTATTACATTTTCAGGTATATTTCCAACCCCTTTCTGCTTTTTGCTTGACTCATTTCTGCTCTCAATTTCAGTCACTTGTGTTTCATCTTCTATTTTTTCGTCCGTTTTAAATGCCTGTGCCAAAATAGCCGATGATTGTTGCTACGAGTGGAACAACAAAGGATAAATTAAATGTTTAATGGAATAAAAATTAGTTCAAACTGAAATCATATTCATATAATGTAGACCGAAGCCTTAAGTATTTTCCCTTCCGGACTGCTTAGTCAAATTTTTTCTTGGGATTTTAGCATTTTATTTCTTGGTCTCGCACCTTTTTCTTCCCCTTCTCCTGAAAATGTTATGCGATTCCCATAGTTTGCCTCCTTTTAATAAAATCATGACTCTAGCTCCCAGAAGTCTTAGTTTCCCCAACTTCTACTTTTATCCAGAATCTTGCCAGCTCTTCAAAATATTTTGCTACATTCGAAAACCCAGACCTAGCGTAATTCAACTTAACATTGGCAACCCGAGTGCCCAGCAATACTTTGTGCTGAAACACTGTAGGGAAATGGGAGTAGATATTTTATGCTTGTAAAATAAACAAAACCAGAACGACCTCTACTTCAACTAATTTTCCTCAAGTTCCGAAGGCTATGGACATAAAAGAAATAACCAAATAATTTGTTGATACCGCATAATTTGAAGATGAGACGGAAAAGTGACAGCAAAAAGTACTGAAGTACTTTTCGTTCGATACTCTTCAGAGTATAAGCATTGCATAATGACCGAAAGTAAGCAGGTAAGTTATATCCAGGTGTGGATCGAAAGTCACGTGAGAAGAAGAAAGACGCGTTTGATTGGTTCCTATGTTTTCTGCCAATCAGCAACCGCTAACCTCTCACCTAGTGGAAGAATTCTAGAGAGAAGATGAACTTTACACAGCAGGAGCTTGAGGTAACCACCGCTTGCAAAAAATCTGAAACCACGCAAACTGAACAGATGAATCCATGCAAACTAAATAGAAATTGCTTCGTTCTAGCTTATTCGTACAGTTCATGTTGCATTGCTTATTAAATTCTAGATACTGGAGACTCAAAGACTTGGCAAATACAGAGATTAGTTTAAACCCATAAATTCTGAGCATACTTGATCAATAGATGGCGTCTTTTTTAGATTGCTTTTCTTCTGATTTGAAGAAACCGGCTTCACTTCCTCGTTTCGCGCCAGCTCCATTACGCGCATAATTTTGTCACCATTAGTTACAGTTGACAGGTCGATATATCCAGGTGCAGTTAAGTCGATTTGCTTCTCAAGGCTGGGGAGAAATTGCAATTGCTGAATCCGAAAATTTTGATTGAAAACTCAATTTTGCATCATCATTTAGAAAAATTGAAGCTAAACAGCATTAACAGAAAATAACTCAAAACTAAAAGAACTTACAGGAAAATTCCTTTGCGCGGTATATTAAATCAAGTCTACAAACTACCTACAGTGCTTAACTTAAAAAGGCTGTTACAAAACAATAATCCTAATAGAAACACTTATTCTCACGCCTTAAAAAGGTAAACATGAGAGAGTATGATTTCCTCGTATCTCCTAAACTCTTTCCCCGACTGAATAGACGGAAAACTCTGCATAACGTCCCTCCACCCTTAACGTTGATGTATACCAAAGCAATACATGAGAAAATAAATTTAAAGAAATATATACTAATGCACATTTTACCTAGTTCTGCTTGCATTCATTTTCAAGATGACATTCTTGAGCCTCACAACCTTCTCTTCAACCTCCTCATTCAGACCCTGTGACGTCAATCTTCTCATTGTTTGAGAGGTGACGTCATCGTTTGTCAAATCCATCTTTGACGGCTTTTGTTCAAATCTGAGATGGTAAGCATATCCCAAATGCACACATTACGATACTGTAGCAACCAAATTTCTAAGGTAGCTATATATAATATCATCCTATTCCAGTGTACTGTTACGTTGAATTGAGTGTACAAACTATATTTGAAAAGGTCTTGGACTTTAGAATATTATTGCTAACTTACATTACTACATTTATCATTCCTTTAAAAACTGAACTAATTTTGCTTTTGGTAAAAATTTTGCACTAATAAGCATCTAAAATACAAAAAAGCTTGCTAACTTTTAATGAAGAAAAAGATCCTTGTGAGACATTGATGACAAAAATTCACGAGCTTCTCTTTAGAAGAATTTTCTAATCCATAAAAACAAAAAAGCCCTTTCTGATAATCTAGCATAGAAGAGCATGGCTGTGGCAGAATTAAAAAGCTCAGTATTTTGTAGCAGAATCAAATCCTCTCTGTATCTCTCAAAATGCTACGCAACTTCTAAAACCTTTGTCAATGCCACTGGTGAAAATGAAACATTCAGTTTAAGGGACTTTAATGCTTACCTTTTAATAATTTGCCTTGCGTACTGTGACTTCGTTAGGGATTCATAAACTGGTCTTGGAATCGGGTCTTTCAGCAGGCTTATCAAAATGGTCTACAGGAAAGAATTTTGTATTAGATTTTGATTCTTAACATCTATGGTAAACCATTCATTGTAAAATGCTGAGATATTTACTCTGTTTATGACGATATGACTTTGTCATGACAGGATATTTTTGTCGAATTGGCCAAATCTGATTTCAGCGTCAATCATTAGCTTCCTAGACTATTTATAAAATTACACATTAAGATTTTTGCAGTAGTTTTTGCCAACTTTGTGGGAACCAGGGTAGCTAGGGGAAACTCCTGGTGCATAATTCACCTTATCAAGTGCTACGAGATCGCTCAACAAGATAATTTCCAGCGAGGCTCCAGTCAAGTTCAAAAGGCATAGTTATTGTAAAAATCTCAAGTAAGGCCCATCTACTAAATTGAAATAAAGCCTTGCTAATCGAAATGCGCTCCTGAAAATCAAAGCAAAAGCTGGTCACGCTAACCCTACCGCGTGGTACGTGGTACTAGACGCTATCCCTACCTCAAAGGTATCTTAATTTGCACCAAACTCTAAGAGCTACCCCATTCTCTTGTAACCGACGTTGATTACAAACTCAATTCATTTCTGAAGAGTTGGGATGCTTGTAGCATTGTGTGAGAATATTGCACTGGAAAGTACGGTACAGTCGAAAATTGCTAATTCGTTTATCAGAAAAGCTATGTTAATGGGGCCCATTTCAGTAAGGCCTAAATTGTATGCCAGTTAACAATACAAGGTGATATTTGCCAAGAATGAATGGATCTGCAGTACTGAATATTGCAAATTACCGAAAAACTCAAAACCTGTGTTTCTGCAAATTCCTTTACCCGGGAACTTGCTAGCAAGCTGCATGATAAGCCGATAGTGTCAAATTCTGTCATAATACACCATTAGTGTCAAATTCGGTCAAAATACACTATTAGTACAAAAAATAAGTAGACTAGTACCTCATTCTGAAGCTCTACTATTGGCATTTTCAGGTATGACTTGATTTCAGGCATCAAACAGCAGTAAACATCAGCAACGTTCATTACCTTTGCACAGGTTGAGATGAACCCAGCTGCTGCATATCGAATCCAATCGTTCTAATGACAAGAAAAAACCTTTCGATTCATTTTGATCAGTTCTTCAGAAAGGAAGAAGACCTGATATATATCATTATGGAATTGAGAAAATAATAATGGCGAAAAATAATATTTTCAATTTAAAAACACGTAGAGCAAGAGGTCATCAAAATGGCGCATTTTCAATCAGAGAACATGACCAATTTCGTAAAATACTTAAATTTAACATCAATTTTCAATGGTTAAATGAATTTGATCTTGTCAAAAGGCTTTTAAGAAAATTGTTGATTGATTTTTTACGGTACATTCATCGAATTAGTGGATTTTAAATCCTTAGAAAGAAACAAAAGAACACGGCTTACTAAAATCAAGTTTTATACAAGAATAGCAATACCGGATGGCATAAGAATGGAAGAACTTCCGAAATGAAACTTTCTAGCACTGGTTTCTGAAGTAGGCACAGCTGAGTCAGACAGGTGAGAGCATGGATAGCCTTGCAGATTACAAACTCTTCGTTATCTTTCAAGCCCTGGAACCAGAAAACAATGTTAAAAAGAATCACACTGTAATGAAACAGTCTTAGAAAAATCAAGAAAACATTTGTATCGCGCACTCTCTGACAGTGGCCAAGGCTGCAGAAAACAAAAAGAGATAAGAAGTTACTTAGAAAATACAACGATTTCTTTCAAAAGTGGAGATGCTTTTTGACTTAACTATTAAAATATTAATACCCAAACCTGTTGCAAAAGTGGTGTTAATATATTCATGCTCTGGAAGCCAATGTATGCAGCAACACCAACGATTGTATCGTAAAACGCTCCACGCAACTTCCAATCGGTTTTGTCATTCAAAAATGTTATGATATGTGAAAGTAAAACATCGTTAGCCTTCTGGCGACCGAAGAAAACGCACAGTCTCGTTAAGCCTTTTTCAAGTAATGTTCTTTTGACTATGTTTTCAGAATTCGTTAACAACGCTGTAACCTTGCTTTGAATCAGCTCGTGAAGGGCTTGCAGTTCAACATCATAGCTACCCTACGAAATAATTGAAAAAACTGAAAAGCAAAGATCAAGTGATAGCGTGACATAGATCAAGCTGTCAGTAAGAATGTTATCCTGATGCTGCCTGAAAAGAGTGACCCACGAGTTCTCACTAAACTCTCTCAAGAACAGCCAAGTCAAGTAGTAAAGCAAAACGCTAACCCTAAGAGTGCATTTGGTGGACACGCAAGAGTGGAATCATTTTTCCCTCGTTTTGAGATACGTCTTCCACCAAATGGAGGCCGCTTGGTATGGTTGTAATGGTGTGTGCTTGCTCCTTTGGTACATCGTCGGTCACAAAAATGAAAAATGTATGGAGCAGCTGTTTCAAGATTTCGTCTAAAAATTTGGTCGAATGTTGTCAGCTTTGACTGTATGGAAACGAATGATCTAACGCGTAGGAAGCGAAAAGGCTGACAAAAACCTAAAATATACCACATACCACCGAACTATACATTGAAGCTTATTCCTTACTTAAAACTTGACAACCCTTTTATAAAACTCTCGCTAAACTCTACTCTCCTACTCCAATTTCCCCTCTCGTGTCAATTTAAACCTATAAAGGAATTTTCAAAATGAACAGCACACCAACCCGAAGATATAGCACTACACGAGGAAAGCGAAAAATTAAACTTCGTGGAAGCGTCAAACAAGCTCACAATTTGTTATATACAATCTAGTTCAACCGTACACCAGACAAGCGTAGATGGCTAGGGCGCACTCACAAGATATAACGATATTTGACACCACAAGCATGACGCATATGAAAAAAATCAATCTCATCAAAATGTTTGATTTGGTTTCTCGAAGCATTGAACAATGAGCAGGACAAACCTGGTACTGAATCTGAGAATCTTTCTCTTGATTGGCTGTATTTAGCATGTTCAGTTGAACGATCTCCAAAAAACGTAAGGCCGTTTCGGCAAGGCAAGCTATGTTCTCTGCAAATGCCACTTGCACTATAACTTCTGGGTCATTTGTAAGGTAATTCTGGAGAGAGCAGGATATTAATTTATAGTAACAAGATCTGGTTTATAAGGTCAACGATCACTATTTTTAACAACTGATAGGCAATCTTTATCACTTAATCACTTAATCACTTAATCACTTAATCATTAAATCATTAAATCATTTAACAACTTAATCATTCAATCGCTAAAAAATTGTTTAACGTCATTGAATTTGCATTGTGTTCATTGAACTGCATCCATGAACATATTTGTATAGAATATCTAATAACAAACAAGGGCTGTCTTACGATTTGCTGCCCATTTTTTAATGTGTTGATCACTACCTTATCAAATATAAAAAAAATTTTCTGACCAAAGAAATGTGGGAATATATGTTAAAAATTCCAGAAAAACCAAAAAAATGTTCAAAAATGAGGTAAGAAATAAACATACTCTTTACTTCATAGTTTTAGATAAAGGTTGGTATACTCACTAAATTTGGGAGTATGTACTCTGGAAATATATTGCCTTCGTTTCGAGGCACATCTTTCACCAAACGGAGGCTGCTTGTTATTGTACTTATGGTGTGAGCACGCACCCTCGGTACATCATCGGTCACCAAGTGAAACATGTATGGGAGCAGGCGCTCTAATATTACGTCATCGCTTACGTATTGCGCCATTTCCAACATTAAGTCTAATGCTGTCAACTTTGACTGTGTGAACTAGGCAAAAAGGAAAATTAATTGCATGAAGCTGATTAAGGATGTGTTCGAAGCTAAAGCCATGCTAATTTCATTAGACGCATAACAGAAAACTGCATTAAACATGGCCTAATCATCCATAACAGATTTTAATCAGTGTTTTCTTTCCTAAACTAATATGACAGCTGTCCATAGATGGGCAAAAAATTATCAGAATTTGAAAACCAAACATCTTCCTCTGCAAAATGAATTCATAAAATCGATTCTTACTAATCCAAAGGTTCTACAAATTAACGATTTTCGTTACTGAACATCTCCACCTAAGCTTTTGTTAAGCATATTTGCTACATTATCGGTCAAAAAAAGAAAAGGGAATTTGCCAAAGTAAAGAAGACTATTGCTTTGCAATATAAATCTTGTTTATCACAAGGATTATATTGGATTTAAATTGAAAATCTCATTTCAAACAATTGCTAAGATTCATACTGATCCAATAACTCGTTTGTTGAACCTGGTAATTTTGATAAAGAATATATCAATATATTCGTCACGCGAATCTACTGATTATCTAGAAGTTATAAAAAATTCATCGCCCCGAAAAGCATTTCAGTTTCAGCAAGGTCAGTAGCGTAGCCTTTACCTTCAGACTTCTAATTGTTGCTGTGATCAGTGAGCAAATCATAACAAAACAATCTGAAAAATAACAATTGTACTCAGATATGGTAAGAACTTAGCGGAATAACACAGGAAGAAATCACTAACTTTGGCTGACAACAGAAGGAAACTAAATTGCTTGACGCAATAACCGGTACAGATTCGTGTGTAGAGCAATGTTGTTAACAGATGCAAACCTGAGTTTGCAATGCAGACGAGAGGGACTTAAATTTCCTGATTAACCAAATTTGACATAGATTATCTGATAAAAAGCTGTTCTTTGCATTTCATTTTATCAGTAAGCCAATGTATAAATTTATTTTCACACAAAACAAAAATCAAAATCTAGAATATTGAAAAGCAAGTTATACACGACTTAAAAGAGCTTAGCCATATATTCAAACAGTCAAACTGACATTTTCACGCGTAAATTCTGTTATCTGATTCATAGGACAAATGCAATGTATAATAACTTTTTGAATTGCTTCTCTTTTTAAGAAACAAAAGCATTTTATGTTTGTTTTTAGTGAAAAAGCCTTATAGCAAGTGCTTTATTTGGATCTATCGATTTGCCTTTGATTTTGAAAAATACTGACAGAAAATTTGGCATTTATTGCTTAAACGTAAACAAAAAATATCAAAACATATCAGAAATAATAAAACGTATCTTCAGGTTGTCACAAATGATTGAATCAAGGCAAGTTATCTTTATGAAGCAAAGGATGTCGGCTATCATTTTGTTAGATATACGACTCGGAGATTATTTGTCTCCATCGTTAAAAAATTTGTCTCCATCGCTAAAAATTAGTTAAAAGTTTCAATACTGTTTATAATACGCACTGTCTGTTTTTGGTATGTCCTTTCTTTCTTCATCTCCTTCTGGTGGGTGTGGTAGAAGTGCTTCTTTAATTTGCTTCAGGTCTTTGTGAATTCTGTCAGATGAAAATAAGGAAAAAAATAAGCGTTTGAAATAGTCACGCCCTATCGAGCCACTATGACGTCGAATATGCCAAAAATTCTAACAAAGATAGAAGGAATTCCATTATGTTTCCATCAAGGGCTGGTTCTTCACTGGCTAGATTTGGTCTTCACTGGCTATATTTCTCTACTGTCACGTGCACTTTTATTTTGTCTTAACTCGTCATATCAACCAACTTTGATAATGCCTTCAACACGGAGTTCAGATAACACAGACCAGCTGGGATTCTTTTCAGAAGGGGTTTCAGTCAAACATTTAGGGGACCAAAATCGAAAAAATCTTACTCCAAAGTTAATTTTTATAGTGGCTTGTTAAACAGTTTACTCGGAGGCGTATACATGTTGCTTTGGTGTTGGCACAAGCACCTGACCATACCCATTGAAAAAGCCATTTCAAGGAATCAGGGCAATTACATACAGATTATCGTTGTCACTAAGAAACAAAGACTTTTAAGAAACAAAGAAACACCTTTTAATGTAGTACATAGTTGTTGCCAAGTAGCTATGAAGCACATTGGTACTCTGTTACTAAAAATTACCAATTATCAGAAAGTTACAGGTTTATATAAAGGATACTATGGGCTCCAAAAAGAGGGCCCATATATGTTATGCAGCAACCTCAATTGATTTATTGCAACCTGTCGGTCATTAATTAAAAAACCAAAAACAATGAATGGATGAATAAATGTTTGTGATTCAAAGTCTGACACTAATCCATCTCCACAATGCGATCCAGAAAATTGGCCAACTGTTGTGGCCTCAATATGACCTCTTTTGGTTTAAGTCAGATTTTGAAGAGTCATTATAATTCACTAAAAATTGATTATTTTTGACAAGGTAGGAATTGGGCTAATCTGGATAAGGTGGGCAGCAGATTAGAACTAAGCTCTGCAGAGGCGAGATTCTATTATCCATATGAAGCGTAAAAAATAAAAGCTTCCTGAAATATATATTTACCTCATTACTTTCTCATCAGGAGTCATGACTGGAGATCCAACGAATTTTGCAAAAAAGGACTTCAAGAATGTGTAAAATTCTTCAGGAAAAACATGACCTATGAAAATGGAAGTGATGCACTCTACGTCCTCCTTTATCTATAAGCTAACTTTACAAAGAATCTACAAAAACCATACACGTAAGCCCCTAAAAGACTGAATTTCAAAAAAGCTATCAAAATGACGTAGGTTACAATTACGATGTCATTTGAAACGTTCTGTTCTACGCAAGGAACTCGGTACAGCTGTGCCTAGACGGCATTAAGTAGCATAATGTCAATGATGATACGTGTCCCCAATTAGCTTGTAAGCTAAATATTTTTTGACACATTAATAAAGTTTTTGATTGATTGATTGATTGATTTATTGATTGATTGACATACAAAATCAAAGTACAACCTGCCTCAAACAACATCTGAGCTTAAAATCTCAAATAACAAGCCTTTGCTTGTTTTGAAAATTATCTCGTAGTGAGGCTGTAATATTTGTCTATTGGACAATACGATGTTTGTGCGATTGTAATCAGTGCTAGTAAATAATTTACAAAATACAGTAATATCTTATTCAATCTTAAATTACTAGCTCGTATAATTTTTTTGTATAAGTGCAAATACCCAGCCTTTAAGTGTCATGAAAAGTGCGAAATTGTTACCCGTAGATAGTAAAAAATTCCGAATTCTGACACATGACAAATAACCAACCAACCAACCCAAAGCTCGATATCCGATGTACTGAACGCTGTTGATTTATGGTCCATTTCTACAAACATTCTTTCAAAAATACAGTTATCTATTTGCACACACCTCGATATGTATTCATACACTCCTTAGCTGATAATCTTTCTAAGGGATCTTTTGAAATCATCTGTTTGATTAATTCCTAGAAATCAATTATCACTTGATATGAATAGCAACCTGCTTACAGATTCTTAAGTGCTACAGTGGCAATCGTAAATACTTCTAAAAGCGCGACAAATGCCTCGTCTTCTTATCTATCATAGATCCAAATAGTCGGAAACAGATCTTATCTAAAAAAGGTCATTTCATGAAACTAGATATTAACGAAGCTGCGAGAGATTTCTCATTATATCTAAGATTAGCAAATGGTCCTAACATGAACTTAACAAAAAATTAAACTATACATTGACGAGATTATGAGAAATTTCTGATTATCAGTTGATTATAAATTGCAAATGTTCAAAAGCAGACCTTATGCAAAAAACCAATGCATGAAACTCTTTGCAGGAAGACTACTTAAGGCACTAGGTAGGCATTGTAACATTCTTTTCGAGTTAAGGGAAATTACAAATGACATTGAATTTATTGGTATCCGTTACGTCAATGACTTTTTCATTTATTTGAAATGACACACGCTCAAAGCAAGTGAAGTCGTAGTAGAGGACAGGAGATGCCTTATCTCAATTTAAAATTTTTTGAACTATCAAAAAACATGAAAACAGCTAATTTAGCTAACGATTTATATTCATCATGAAATCGTACACTGAATCGAATGGATCTAATACACTTTTCCGTGCGACGAGCGCAATGTAGAGCTCCGACTGTTTTAATGTAGCTCAGATGGTTTTGGATCCAAAGCAAAAGCCGACACCCCTCTTTTTTTGGATAAAACACAAATAAAATCGAAAAGAAGGTTTAATGAAATTTGAAAGCCACACGTTGCTTAGTTAAACAGAAATTAGGGATAGAAGTAATCCAAAAAGGAAAGAAAGGAAGAAAATAAAGTGTAGAACTAACTTTGATTTTATTGTCGATTTTGCTTAACTTCACTTCAGGACTGTAATCCCCGTTCTTGTAAGCAAGCAGCTGTGACAAGTCGAATAACGGGCTGCCTTCGCAAAACAGTTCTGCTATAACACATCTGTAGCCAGTAACAAGATAGCCATTAAAAACTGAATTTCAATTTGTTAGAAGCAATACATACAGAAATAGATTGTGAATTTGTTTCTTCGATGAACGTACTGAGAATATGGCATCAAATAAGAAATATTTCTGAGGTACGTAGTTTGGCAATACATGAAGCAATCAAGGAAGATAGACAACAGAGGAGCATTAAAGATACTGTCTAAAATTGTCACATCACATCCTGTCACTTCTTTGTTTAGATGCTTTAAAGTTTCTTTAACAGTCTTCCTAGAGAAATCGTTGTTAACAGACATGTCCTATTCATTGCTTTGAAAAAGCAAACAATTTGAAACATCAAGAACTCCAAACTATGAACTACAGTGTCGTAACAGGCCGATCAGAAACGCGAGCACGTAACTGTAAATATTGCCAAAAAAGTACCGCTTTCCTAGAGAAGAGAGACATCGATCTATGTTCTGGAGTTCTATACTATGAAAAGTGTCCCACGTTTAGTATGTTTAAAAAAGTTTGCTATTTCAAAGCCGTTATTAATTTTCGTGCCACCAAAAAAGTGTCTGCATGTCATAAGGGTTGACGACTTCCATTTACAAAACATATAGAGTTAAAGCCTAGGTTTTCTTTCACGCGGTTACGAAGCCTTACAAAATACACCAAGACAACTGTTTCCTATTTACATCAAAAAGCTTCTAGACAGGTGTCAGTTGTATGGAGGTTTCACATATGACTGAGCCCATGAACTCACTGAAACTGGAATTTTCACTTCTCATCGATAAAAAATCTTATAACACAATGAGAAAAATCAAGTATACAGCGTAAAAGGCCCTTATTTCGAAAATTTACTGCGAGCATTTCTGCTTAAAAATACAAAGTGTCAATAATATGATAATCAAATTCATTAGGAGAGAATAAAATTGAGAAAGCTGTACAGCAAACAGAAAAAATCCCTGACCTACCCGGCTGAAAATATATCCATCGCAAAAGTCATTTCACTCTGTTCGGTAATCGGCAAATCTAGTAACGGAGTAGAGGGGCTGCTTCCTAGTTTGCTTTCCCCATCTGATTGGCTACCGCTAAGTGAGTCCGTGTACTTCTGACCTGTTCCTTTGAAACGTTCAGGTGCGATGTAGCAGGTTCGCCTTCGTGATGTATCAAAAAAGTAATTGAAATCAGCTGGATTATCAACGGGAAGGCAAACTGGTTTGAAACTAGCGATATCAGTGAGCAATACCCAATTCCAGCTTGTAACAAGAACATTTTCCGATTTGATATCACCATGGTAAACCTAGGTGTATAAAACACAAACCAATGCTTACGAAATTAGATTCAAAGAAACTCTGATATTATATAGCAAGGGAAGAAAACAGTAATACATTGCATTGTATTTTTTCACGCTCTTATATCGCGTACAATTTTTAAAAGCCAATTGAAAATAAAACATGGTGAATATTGCTAGACTTTTATCATGGTACAGTGAAAAGAATATAAATCTGAATACAAGAAGCAATTTATGTTACATTCACTAAAAGCAAATCGATGGTTAAAATATTTATCATTCACTGCTTATATCAATGTTTCAAAAATCCCAAGGTAAACGTTGTAGGCTCCCTTTCATGATTTGATTCAGCGATAATATTTACGAAAATTGCTACAATAAAACTCTGTGTAAAGACGTCAGAACAGTCACAGCGACCCCTACTTTGCAGAAGTTCACTTTCCTCTTCATCGATTCCTCATCAATCTTACAGCGGCTAATATCCACTTTTCATTCTTTGCATAATTGAAACTAATATATCCTGATAGTGCAAAAGCGTGGAAAATTTGATTATTCAAAACATTGAAATACCTTTACAGAGTGCGCTTGCTCTAAGGCACACAATAGTTGGAAAACTATCCACTTCTTCTCGATGAGATTGAGAAAAGGTCTTGTGCTAAACAGAGATAAATAATATAAAATAGAATGAAATAATGAGAAACATGGTACACACTATACAATTCCCAGTGGGATACCTTTACTTTCCTTACTTCACGGAGAAAAACAAATCTAGCAGCAAAAACGTACGTGAAACCAAAACCAAAATAGGCTTTGCCTACCTTCAAGGCCAATGTCTCGGGTAACTTGTTATGTTAGATAGAAACAAATATGCATGCCAAGAAGGGGGGGGGGAGAATTTCTATCTGTGGCTACCACTTGTGTCCCTCAACAAAGACCTAAAATTACTGATTTCATTCATTTTTTGAAGAATCCACCACCAAGAAAGAAACCAACGACCACTCTCCCTACCTCACTTTAAGTCGCCCCTTTTACTTGTGCATATCTTGTGTATTTCACCAAAAACAAGCTAAAAACCCTAAAAGTTTCAGCGGCCCTAGACCTTGATCAAACTAAAGGGTATCTACTGATCTAGACCCTCTAATCTTAGAAATGCAATGCCATTGGTGCTCAAATTCTCGGCTTTAGTGTACCTTGCGCCCCTTCCCACCCATTTCTGAAACCTCGTTGCTTTTCAAAGCGTTTCTAACCCAGTCCATCAGACCTTACACGCTATTAGATTACAAAGTCATTATATTCTCTGGAAAGGGGGAAGACATCAACTAGCCTTGAATTTATATCAAAAATGTTTAAATCAACTTACATCAAATCCCATAATTTACATCAAGGGTCTTTCAAGGAATTTACGAAAGATTGAAATAGAGAACGAAAAAAGCTCGAGTGATGGAATCTTTGAATGGAGAATCTTTCAAGGAGCAGGTATAAAAAGTGCCCAAAAAGAAACGAGACAGAAGCCTACATACCTCAGCAATACAGAGATGCCCACAAATACATTAAAAACTTTAAAATGGAGGACCGAAAGTGACATGGAAATGAATGAGCGAGATTTTCCTTTGAACGATGAAATAAACTTCTTCCATCGACGTTTATACATACGTAAGTTACTGAGAACTTGATAAAAACCTAAAAGCAAACTGTTTTAGCTTCCGCTTTACGTAACATAGACGTCAATTTCTTTACGCCAACGAAAAATCACTTAGCAAATCTCCCTGCAGGGTGGAGACTTTCTGAAGTCACAGTTTTCCTTCGTCTTGATTATAGCAGCACCTGCCTTAAAAAGGAGTGGCTTAGAGCGGGCGAAGCCAATCAAAGTTTCAAACAATCAAATATACTCACAGCTAATCTTTTTTTAGAAGAAATTAAGAATGAAAACACAGAGAAAACATGAAATAAAGAATAACCATATGCACTTTATCTGATGGGAATGTAGCGGACCAAAGAACAATGAAACATAGAAACCCTGATTTTTGGATGTAACAACTATACACAATCTTTTATAAACCTTTTTGGTGTCCTTTTTGAGCTTGAATTCCTTTGCAAATTTAAAAAGAAGTAGTGTTATGAATAAAGATTTAGGTTTTCTATTTTCACGCCAGTCATTTTTCAACATGGCGAGTGAAATTCTATATTGCAGGTCTCGGTTCTGTGAGGATGTGAGTAATCAGGGTACTGCAAAAAGAGTTACTGATGTTCTGAATGGTGGGCGAGAGAGAAAAGAGAGAATTGAAGCGAAGATATGGACAGGTAGCAGGAGAGATTATAAAGCTAAGAAGGGGAGAATCGAAGAAGAAGAGAAACTGAATTATCGTTTTTATCTGTTTTCGTGCTTGCATTTGTTGAGGCAAAGGGATTTTTCAGTGTTTCCAGTCCCCCTTTAAATTATCGCATTGTAAAAAATATGGCGGACTGGAATTGTTTTAGGCTATTGTTCCAGCTATTGTTCTCGTTCAATCCACAACGAGACAGATTGCCTTTAAACTTGACTCTGATCAATAAATGAAAGAACAACGAAATGATCACGAAAACAACATAATTACAAGCGATGAAACATTCAAGTTTGTAGGACGAGGCAGCAAATGACGTAAGTAAGTGGGCTTGGGAAATATTTTGAAATTTTGAAAGATTAAAGAAGTTAAGTATGAATTTAAGGAGGTTAATTCACCGTATATGCACTTTTGTGAATCTGCTGAATATGAAATACGATGACGCAAGGACACCTTGCCAAACAGAGAGAAATCAAGAGAACAAGACCAGTCTTTCTTTACAAGCTTATTTGGCTGATAATTATTTCATAATTGACGATTGATTGGAAACAAATAAACAATAACAATAAAGCAGCCAGGATAAAGTTCTTAAAAGAGAAAAATTCATAGGCAAAGAATGAATATTTGCTTGTTTCTCAATTATAGCTACGTAAGCTACATAATTGTAGCAATCTAGGTAAATATTGATAGGAAGAATCAATGTAAAATTCATTCTCGTACAAATTTACGATATACACAGATATAATGGTCTCAGTCGTAAGCATGAGAAATTTTAATGATTCCGAGAACAGCTCTGTTGACAAAAGCTTCCATTTGCAATCTCCAGTAGTATGCAGAGAATATAAGAGGATTTTCCTTCTTTAATTGACACAGTGTGAGAGAGACACATAAGCTTACCTTATGCGATCATACAGATTATCGTGAACGTACTGTCGGAACAACAAGCCGGCCTTTTCAGTAAGCTGGGCACCTTGGAAGGGCAAAACATTTGTGGTTCCTGACAATTTTCTCTTAATCAGCGATATCTGATCCTGGTACACTTTAAGTGGCAACGACGGATCGTGTATGGCAAAGACTTTGATCACTACGTAGCCTTCTCTGTGAAGAAATTGAATGAATATTAGACAGATACGAATCGAATTTTTGGCCTTGATTGATTGATGACTAATCTAAATCGATTCATAATAAAACGAAAAAAATTCTACCCACATCAACTTTTTCATGTTTTCATTGTATATTATTTTCTCTTAGTTGCAAATCTTAACAGAATTTTTTAAATGCTCAATAACTCGTGATAAGTTCGCTCATAAATCTTAAAAACTGTCACTTTTTCTCAAGAATTCATATGAGAAGACATTTCGAAAAAGAAGAAAACATACTTATGCTTTGCTCTGGCTACTTTGAGAAACCTTGTGCTGCCAAGACTGCAAATAAAAATAATAAGCAACAGATTGAATGACAATATATTCAATTTGATTACAACAACATCACTAGCTGATAGACTAAGACCTTCTTTTGGTCCCGGAAGAAGTCTAGCTTGGCTTGCTTTCGATCGAAGTGTGCTCTACTTAAGTTCCACCCATTTGTAACGTCGAATCTTAATTTGCTGTAAGTTTACGAGTTGTAAGTTTGCGAGTTAACAAAACTTTTATCAGAAAACGTAGTTAATAGAAAGAAAACAACTCGCGATTTCGTCAATTGACCGTGGAAAAGATTTCGTACCCTACATTTGTATGTGTTACTTTGCACTCCAAATTTCTTATCATAAATTTCCTTTAAAAAATTGAAAGGTGTTGGGAAAGCTATACATGTTATAAAAAATCGTTTAAGCTTATTTCAATCTAACCCAATTCATATAATTTGACACTGTGTCCTTTAATGAATTCAATTTGTATTTGTGTTAATAAGAGGGGGCAATTTAAAGAGGATTAACTGTATATGCTTCTCGAGTTTAATTTATTTTGTTCCTATACGTTTCGTTTACATTTTCGACGCGGACATTGTTACAGGGCCTCCGACGAAGGGGGGGGGGGCAGGGGGCCAAGCAATAGAGCTTTCTTCAAAATCTTTTGTTATGATTTTGAAATTTTCTCTTGGCCCAACCAATTTCCAACCTGCTTCGGAGCCCATGTGTTACATATATTATTCGTTTAGGGTCGTATAGAGATCTCAGCCTTTGACGCCTATTTTAGAAAGAGCCTAAGCTCGGCATCAGCGCTAAGTTTCTTCATTTTTGACGTTGTTTCAAGTGCTAAAAATTCCATAAAAGTATCTTAAATGCCAAATGCAAAAGAGATAAATTTTAGAAACACAAAATCATAAAATAAGATAAAATTGAATAGAACATATAATGAGTTACAAGGAGTGCTTCCTTCTAAATATCTATGTCAATTAAACATGCGTAAGAGGTGCGTAATCATCGAATAGAACCATATTCAACCGAGCGAAGAGTGACTTTCGAGCAGTTACTTAACGTTGAGGGTTTCTTGTTGATAGTTTCTTATAAAAATGATTGTAAACAAAATTCTTCTAAACAAGAAACGTATAATGAAATATAGCGTAAGGTAGCCAGTTCAAATATCGACTGGAAAAAGAAGAGCCGAGAACATTGTTTGGACAATCAAAAGTTGTCTTGACAAAGCTACACGAGTTAAGAGCCAAATCACTCAATAATGACTCAAAAAAGATTATCACAAAACAGCTATTTTATCAAAAATATATATATTTTTTTCTCACAAAATATTTCGAGAGGCCAACCCTTTCTCTTTGTACAGCTTACGATAACCGCACTTTCAACATCGGTTAAATTCTCACGGTACATTTGGTCATCATTTCGAAAGACAAAGAGCGACAGTTTAAATTGAAACAAACTTGGGCTAAAACGTCATAGGTACCTGGAAAAAAGTTTACAGGAAACACAAGTATTAATAATTTACAGCAGAAGTTGGCCCATTTTGAGGAAATCTCCTTCTCAAATCTCCACATCATCCTTCTCATGCACATCACAAGCGAAACAAACAGAAAATTTTTGCAAAATAACATCCACATCTAGGCTTGGGGCTGACACCAATCAGCAACAACATTCAAAGTTCGGCAACAACGGCAACAATTCGGCAACAACGGGAATTCGGCAACAACATTCAAAGTGACTAAAGAGATTTAAAATGAAAACACTTTTGCGCCCCATCGTTATGATATCCAAGGCTGGCTTCTCAAATCATTAATAGGTCAAAATTTTCAATACATTTGCTATTTCACATATTTATATATTAGAACAGTTGCCTGATGACCGCAATAAGCATGAAATTCACAGTTTCAACTTAGAACCATCATGTTGACTTTGCACCAAAGCATAGATATTTATGTTTATAAGATTGCTGACAATTTGTGTTTACTAACTGCTCTGGGCTGGAATTAAATTTCAGTTTCCTGTGTCGTTTATTCCACTCCACTGGACCAAGTGACTCAATGCAATGATATCAGAATGAATGGCTGAGCTTAACTGATGTTGTTGTTAGTCTTCACAGGATCCCATTCAATTATTAACAACTGCATATCCAGGAAGGATTAAGTCTGTCTTAAAATAGTCAATTTCCGAATACTCTCAGTAAGTGCCAATTTAGAAAGAACAAATGATTGATAATCTGGGAAGTTTCCTGAGTTTGGAAAAAAATAATTTAGCAGGACAATTCTGAGACATTAAAATTTGAGACATTTTTCACCTGCGCCTTGTGTGCAATATCTTCTTTGCTATTTTTTCTTTCCATTTTAGCTTTTTTTGCTTTGTTTATCATTTTTCATGGGCCCTGATGCAAACTCAAAATAGATGTTAACTACAATAATTACCTTTACCAAAATGAATTATCCAAAGCCTAATAAATTTCCATTTAATCTTGAGAAACAGACAAAATTTTTCTAAATATTCTCCTTAGGTTCACCAACCCCACTTATTCCATCTCTTCCCCATACAGGTTATCCCTATCCCCTTATCAAGCTATTGCTGTTAATAAAAAAGGAAAAATCAAATAGATTACACAGATCCCATAAATGGCAAAAAATCATATCTTTATCAAAAAAAGTAACGACAAATTTTAAAAAAATGAACCAGCAATCCAAGAAAGATTAGCACTGCATCTCCTTGGAATGTTTTAGTTAGCCTATTTAAAGACCCAATAGATCTAGCAACTGTGCATCAAATCCAGGGGCCTTAAAACCAATCAACACTTACAGCATGGAACATTAGTACAAGATCACATCACATTGTATGCTCTTAAAGTTGGCTCCAGTCAGTCTGTTAGATGCAAAACTGATAGTTAAAGAATTAGAACTTGGACCCAAAATGCAAAATCATTCCATCAAGCTCTAATTAAAGGTAAAACATGCAGACACAACACACACCATGGAAGTTTGTCTTCAAATTTAACAATCTATTAGAAACAAATTGGTTATAGCTAAAGTACAAAATGAATAAACTGAATTTATCTATAATCTGTCACTATCCCTTAAAGTGCAAGTCAAAAGAACAAAAATTGTTTGGTCAGCAATTTCAATAATGTGAAATTATATTTTGTTCACAATTAGTTCTTCATTACAACTTTATCAGAGAAATAATCAGTAGAGATGATAATTATTTTAAAGTTACTGGTACAAACCTTTGACTTAAATGTTGCTTGTTAACAAAAGCAGAGACTGTGTTATTTGTGACAGTATGCTTCATATTCAAAATAGGCATGATTAATGCAACATAGGACAAACTGAATAAAGAAATATGACTAACTGACTAAAGAAACTGAACTATATACTAACTTCAAAAAATAATGGGACACATTTACAATTCAAAGAATTTATGGAAAGTGGATCATGATAAGCTTTCTTAGTGGTGAAATGTAAACTTTAAGGGAACAAGCTTTCAAGCTAATGAGGAAAAAATTAATAATTGATGACCAAGCCTCTCAGTTTGAGGCAGGTGATTGCATGTCCATGCCTAGGTGAGACAAGACGCACATTTTGTCAAGCACCTGCCTTTCAAAAAGTATTGACATCATGCACCTCAGCCATTTCAGATTAATACTTTTTAATCAGAAATTTTGTCTTTTTGATCAAGGAATATTTTTTAAATTACGGCAGTCACATGAGCATGACACGAAATGCATGTTCAACACTGGAAAACTGTCTGATGTGATGGTTGAGTGTAATGAAAGAACCACTTTAAATCTGCGTTGCCACTGTTATCATTACAGGAAGTAATTCTTAGATCAAAACATGCTAATAGTCTCGTTAGGCTTGCTGTTAAGAACTTATTTTGGGATCAAAACAAAAGAAGTTTCTTTTGTGGGTGTACATAACACTTGAAAGACAATAGTTATATAACCCTTTGGCAACACAAAGCTTAAAAATGGCACAAAAGCTGTAACATCAGTGGTACTCATATTATTACTTTTCTGCAAGATTTAAACCGGAAGTTAAGAATTTCATGCCTTGAAAAAGATTTTGCTTTGAGGCACCTGATCAGCCATGCATCTGCTAAAATCTTTACAGGGAGGTCAGGATAACAAAATATACTCATATTTGATGATTTCTCCAAGTAATTTGCAGTGAAGCTTGAGCATTGGATGTTATAACACTAGTGATGTTGTAACACTTTTCTCTGGGCTAATAGAGGGTAAGAAGCTACCAAAGATTGCTAAACCCCTCTAAAAACTTTTCTAAGAGGAGGTTTGAGCCTCAAAAGCCCCAATGTAGCTAGTGTTTGTGCATCTATTCGTAAACAGAGCCAATGAATTGGTAAAGCAGTGTGTGAATTTATCACTGCCAAGCCAGGATGGAATCCATGTGAAGCTCACGCCGGACATACGCCAATAAACATTAGAAAGACAATGGGAAATCTTTAGTCTACGCCGGATATCTCCGGTGTAAGCTACATTGGCTGCCAAGACTGTGCAAAAATTCTCTCGAAATTTCATCATTCATGACACTGCCGACACAATAGTCACAATCTGACGCTTATGGAGTTCAGATGCCTTACCTGGAATGGAACTGGAATTCTGGAAGATCAGTGAAATAGCTCTCGACACTGAGGATTTGAGACGGAGCAACCCCAGAGAGTTGATTCCCCATACTTGAAAACCAACATCAACATTCAACTTCGGCCATGTTCATTTCTCTCGCCAGCCTCAAACTGAATAAAGATTGTGGCAGTGAGGCCAATGTTTTTCCTCCAAAATAGTGGGGGTCTCATTCATTCTCGGAAGGGGGCTTCTGCCATCACTTGTGCTTGTGTGTATAACTACCCTGACTTCGAAGTTGTTTTGACTAAAATATAAAAAGTTTTTGATGATTTGAGACTACGAATGCGGTGTTTGCTTCTTGTCATTTGTAAGAATTTATGTAGGAAGTGTTGATTTCCAGCAGCATCAGCAATGTACAAGAAATTAACTAGCATATTAGAAATAGCAACGAAAACAATGGCGACCCACCCTGGTGGGGCCGTTGGAAGCGCTATTAATCAGAATTAGCCCCCACTCAAACGTAGAGTACAATATACTCGTAGGCGGAAGTTAATTACTTGTAAACCGTGTAGCCAGACGAAATTCTGGTGTGACTCTCAACCGGGCGACGAATGGCTTCGGGAGAGCCGATAGCCGAAATATGGAAACGATCCTACTTGGGCACACGCAAGTTAGATCAGGCGATTATTTCTCAAACCGATCATAACTAGCGCAGTGTCGACGAATCAAGTGCGCCTCCGGTACAAGACAAGATTCTCATTGTTTTATAGCGGGGATTAAAGTCAGATGCGGTAATAGCTATACTGTTAACGCATGCGCAGTAGCGGCTTTTGCGATGCTTTTCAAGTCTTTCACAAAAAGAGTTTCACCTATTCAAATGCAATAAATTGGTGAATTTAAATTTTGATTAATGCTCTTAAGAAAGCATTTTGAATGCACCGCTCCCCGACGGCCTAGCCTATACTCCAAACCTCTTCAAGGGTTAACCTCCTTCACTCTTTTTTCGCCCTTCTCCAACAAAGCAAAAATGTTGTTAAGATTCTCATACGATGTTGATGGTAGATCCTAGAACAGGGATGAACAATGAATTTTTGCAAGGGACCACATAAGAAACCCAAACAGTGTTGGAGGTCAGAACGAACGAGAATTTTATTCTGCAAAATTTTTATTTTCTCCAAATGCGAAGAGCAATTATTCATGAAATATATTAGCTAGTACTAGATATCAGAAAGATAAAATTTTTACGTAAATGTGTATAAAAATCCATGAAATTGTGGTGCGGCTCAACTGGAAAAATTCTACTTTAAAAATTCATCTGCTGATAGACCAAACCCTCACAAAAACGCAGGCCTGATAGAAACGTCGAAAGGGCCCAATGTGGCCCGCAGGCTGTAAAATGCCCAGGTATGTCCAAGAGTTTCAAGACAAAACTGCTTTATAGGGAGGTGGCATAAACAATCAATGTCGTTTTAATGAGAATTAATGTCTTTCTAAGAAAACATTTTTTGAAGCGATTGTCGGTCTCCTAAGGACAACAAGTAGCTGCAAAACTATAGTTATGCAGCTTTTCGGGAGCCGGGTAAAAATGATTTGTCATTGAAAATTTCAAGGGCTATCCTTGAATTAACTTTGTTGGGGAGATGAGTCTAAATTCTCATTGTTTATGGCCATTATTCTATCCATTTGTCTGAACCAATGAAAACGTGAATCATATGGACATGCGCATTAGGGCGAAGGCAAAATTTAAATCAAATGGCGCTTCAAATTATTTAATCAAAATTATGCTTGTATATGTTAAACAGAGTTTCGCTCTTACACTTCTCATGACACCCTTTACACTAAATTTCCTTCGCCTTTTTATCTGATTCAGGCTAATTCACATAAGTGCTACAAATTTTCCTATCACAGAAAATGTTTCGCGGTGTGAAAATAAAGACATCGACTTTAACTGCGCATGTGCACATGATGCAAAATTTTGAAAAGCTAACGGTCCTTTAGACAAATGCTGGTTTGTCTCCCCGGCAAAAATGTTTTCTATGCATGTTTATGTTCCATACTCAGGTCTTAACGAATTAACATTGCCAGCGAGTGTAGGACATTGACCGTGAGTTAAATCCATGAACGGTAACAAGGAATATAGTCGTGCTTTATACCAAGAGCAGGGGTAATTTTCAGAGTGGGATCTCTACATTGTGAAGTTATGGTAACACGGAGGTTTGCTTAACAACAGAAATATATGTGTGAGCTACGAGCAATCTCAAGAGAAAAAGCCGACAAAAATTTGGTGAAGCAGCAGAGAACTTTAAAAAAGTCACCCAATCAGCTTTATTCTTCAGTATTCAATCATTCCAAGCCTCAGTTTGTCTATTTTCTTATCCATCACTATAGCTTTGATGGAAAACGAGGAGTTTTTTCATTACTGGGGGTGTTTCATTGAAAAATTTTCAAACTTGTCTGAAACTAAAGGATGATCGCCTACTATGTCGGCAAATGGGAACTGGATACCCCCCTTGGAGCTCAATAGATCGCGACAGAAGGTGGAGCAGAGTCTGGAAAAGTTGTCCATCTTTCTCTGACAAAGAAAACCTTACTATAAAACCTGCCTCGTTCTTAATGGGTCTGAAATGGACGGGGTCAGCAAGTTGGGGTACTCAACTAGTCTGGATCCCCTCACATTGCACTACTCTTTTCCAAAGGATTCTTTGTTGCTTGCTTTCAGTTAAAGATAATTTCCAAACAGATGAATTATATAAACATAAAAATTGTAGAAAGTTAGTGCCAAAATATTACCTGGCAAAGCGGTTCTGCTGAAACATTCATATAAAAAAGGATATTTTTAAATATGATTTTATTTTCTTAATTCATTTTGTCTGACTGTATTTTAAAAACCAAAACGCAATACGATTTCTTCAACTTCCTCAAGTTTCTAAATTTTTTGTTTTCTTTTTCAGTTTCTTTTTGTTTCTACAACCTTCTTCCGGCCAGTGACCGTGGGACTGTGACATTTTCCTGACTCTAGAGTGGAAATGAAGGAAAAGAGAGCAAAGCAACTGTTACTTCCAATTTAGAAGTCTGTTTTAGAGATATGTAACATATTTGGCAATTAAAGAGGGAGCTCCAGGTTTCTCTCTCCCCTCTTCTTCAGCTGACCTGTCGCTTTGATGTTTTCAGAAGTAGCATTCTTATTCAGTCGAAGTCCTAGAATCATAATTATCATGATAACAGTTTGTCGCTGCTTTTAAATGGTCCTTGCAATTTTTTCTACATTCTTCTTTTCTGCTCTATCTGCATCAATGTGTTGTCGACCTTTTCTTCAATATCGTCTCTTCACTTAATTTTCGTCAGAGGTAAATCAAGAATTTACGCAAGAAAATTTTATTATGCTCAAAACAGCAGGCAAAGACTAGAAATGCTAAAATTTGCTGAAAAATATTTCATTCGATGAAAAGTTTGAATGCATAAGAATCGTTTTCCTTTATTACTGTGGTAATTATTTGCGGAAAACAGCGAGAAACCTTTCCAGGAATGAAAGATTCTTAACAAAAGGCCTACACGATTTGGCGTTACATACAATTAACAATCCACAGGTAGTCTAAAAAGTAAACAGGTTTCCAAGGCTTTTTTCACACGAGTAATTGGGCATATTCTTTCACAATAGTAATTGGGTTTTCCTTATTTCCTAATTTGCGCAAATGCATTGCACTTGAAACTCGACATGGAGAATCTTGAACAGTGGCGTCAACATATACAAGATTTAAATTAAATAAAACCTTACTTTGAGCCTGTAATGTTAACAAAAAATTTGTCTTTTCTCTGTCAACAATCACTTAGCTTAAACGGAAAGGAAAGAAGTGTTTCTTCTCGGAGTGAAGCTTCTCCAAGTGTTAAATATCAGGTTTTCCACCCATTACAGAACATTACATGAAGATTGCATCACGATTTGTCACGTGTGTTTATTTTTGTGTATTACGTAATTATTATTCTAGGTGCTGGTAAAATTTGTAAAAGAGGTTGTTTCGTATTTCAAGGGAGTTGAACTTTGTGAGTTTTGTCACTAGTTTGTAGAATTTTGTTCGTTGACTGGTAAGGGCATTTTTAGTCGTTTACTGTGAACTGATGAAATTAAGAAACAGTTTCCGTATTTAATGGTATACGAGGTCACCTATGTATACGAAGCTAACCTGTCTAAGCACATATTCAAAATCATTATTATTTAAATCTCTTTCAAAAAAAGTGTAGAAGAATTCTGCTTATAAAAAACTCTGAGGATCTACTCTTCTATATGGGGGGATGATTCTCTTTTTACTTGCAAAAGACATTATGTTTTATTCAGTAGCATGTTGATATCAAGAAGGTTTGCATTGAGAAAGTCAATGCGTTACAAAGAAATGAACCTACTTTTTCAAATTATCAATTCAGCTTATCGATCTTATTTTAAAGATTCATATGAGATTTGTGGGGTCGATTACATCAGGATCTAATCTTAAAAGTGTACTTTGATAAGGAATCGGGTCGATTATGCGTAGTAATAGCGGTGTCAACTAGCAACATGCAGTCCCTTTAAAGTTAAAACATTATGTCTGGTTATAGGATTTTAAACAGCAGGTGATTAACCAAAGAATGAAAGCCTGTAGGTTCCATTTTGCGAGGGTTAGCTGCAAGGGCGGACTGGCCGGTCGGGCTACCGGGCGATCGCCCGATGGGCTCTTCCAAAATTATTGCAATTTTTCTCCATTTTACTATGAAATGGCAATTTGTATTGTTTGTTATGGGCCCTCTTCTCTTGCCATTACACCTAGACTCTCTCGAAGAAAGTTGATACAGAATAGATAAAAATACCACTTTAAGCTAGTTAAGTACAGAAAAAAACATTTTCCAAAATTTGGGGCCCCATGTAAGCACGCAGTATTCTGGGCCCAGGACTCACTGTTCCTAATGCAATAATACGATACTTAATGAAAGTTCCGAAATCAGAAACAAATTTCTTTACAGGAACTCGATTTTAATGTTTGCAAGGAAATTACAGATTTTTTACTCGATTTCTAGAAAGGTAGATTACTTTAATGCTAACCAGATAGATTTGAGAATCTATATCGAAACAGCGGAGGGCTCAGCCCCCCTCCTTGTTTGTGCTTCGATCAGACAAGAATCGTGTAACGCATAGAAAGCAGTGACAAAATCTTTGCTC